ATCTAGTGGTGACTGATCAGTGCTCAAGTTTTTTATTTGTCCACACCACTGTATTTTGTAGAGAAGTTCAAACCAAATTTTGTGTCACTTCATGTTACAAATATATATATATATATATATATATATCAACTTTTTTAACATAATGATATGAGATATTGTGGTTTGTTCATTTAAAAACACATACCACTGCCATATCATTTCAAAAAGAAATTCTAAATTAAAATTCTAGTGATTTTTAGCATTTTCTTTAAATATATATGAGTGCGCTATACAAACAGGAAAAAAATAATACAAAATGACAAAAAAACTTTAATTTCATCACTTTAAAGTAAAAATGACCCATTAAGGTGGCTTTTAAAATTTCAAAAATATCACAACCACCATCGTTCTGATCAACAATTTTGTAAGAAAATTTTCAATTTGTATTTATATACTTGTGAAAAGTAAATCATAGGGGTGTGCCACTACCAAGCTCACCTTTCTTCTCTTCTTTAGATGTCTCAGCTTCCACTGCTGCGGAAGTAACGAGAAGGAAAGCTGCAAACAAAAGACCAAGCAAAACAAATGCTTTCAACTTCATTTTTATTTCTTGTAAATTTCAAGAGAATGAGATTTTGAGAAGGATGAGAAAGCCATGGCTTCCCACACCACTATTTATAGTACTTGGTGCCATAAGGAGAGTACGTAAGATTGCTAGCATATGCATTAAAGTTGCGGTGTCTTATCCCACCTATACAGAGTGTAGTGTAGTTGGGTGTTGAAGATTTTGGAACCTATCTTACATTAATCATTTTCGGTTATGCTAGAGAGAGATTGAAGAAAAGCAGGTGGTAGATGGAGTTGGAGCGAGGTTGGGAAGGCTTGAACGGGTGGCACTTGGCTAGTGAGTGATGCTTCGTTTGGCAATCATGGGGCTAAATTAATCATTAAAAGGTAAAATAAGTTATAAAATTAATAAGATAAAATATCACGTTCAAATCATAATCATTTTACTTCCTCTCTTACAAAATCAAAAAATTAGAAAAATCAACCTAAATAAGTTTTTTAATCCCAAATTACAAAAATATCAACTCTAAAAAGTCAATAAAAAAAACTATTGCCAAACAACTGAGTTTTGTTCGGAGATCAGATCCAAACACATACATGACATTAGATCCATGAGAAGCTAGCTCTCTTGCCACTTTCTTGCCAGTCAACCTTTACTGCTAGGTTTGTTATGTAGTAGCTCTATCTCATTTTTTTTTGTTAGTAGTCATCCAGTGCCCCTAAAAATAAAAAATAAAAAAAGTCTAATAGTCCATAAACGGATCACAAAATTCTACACAAATATATACACAAATAGTTAAATTTTTTTAAAAGTGATTTTCACTAACAAATTATGTAAAAAAATCTCATTTATTCAGGTATATTTTATGTTTTCATTAAAAAACAAAAACAAAAAAGGAAGACTTCGTTATATGTGTGGCCTTGAATTTCAACCAGGTGTCATGTCGTGAGGCAGACAGGCTTAGGCTTGGCTCTTTTTGGTCACCTTCGGCCTGAAACTCAAACCCAAGAATCTATATTCCAGGGCTGAACCTGCTTAAAGTTTCGCAAATCTAATGTTAAATATATGACCATTTTGTACTATATTTAATTTATTATTTGATGTGATATATTTACAAACATCAGTGCAATGAATCACACAAAACTCTAATAATATTCAATAGTACTCATATTGAACAGTAACTGAATATACATATCTAATACCATATACTTTTAATCATGTCACTTTTTTTTTTTAGTTATGACATTATTTTGAGATTTTTAATTATAATTTTTTTTATATTTGACTATAACTTCTTTTTTTTTTAATTATAACTCAAAGAATATGATATTATGCCTTTTTTTTTTTTATAAATATAAAGTGTATATGTGTACCATAGTCTTTCTCTATAAAAATTGATAAGTGCAAGATAATTGATTTTACTAACACCGTCAACTATCACAGGATTAATAGTGATGCACATAGACAAGTTATTTGGTATTTTTAAGGAATTGGTTTATATAAGGGACTCATTTTGTGTTGTTGTTACGTAGGAATGCAATGTAGATTGGAATGGGTTTGAAATGAGATTAGACAAAAATAATCATTCTTACTCTAATGTTTGGTGAAATGTTTGAAATGAAAATTATTTGTATAATCAGAATTCAAAAGTATCATGGAGCATATTACAAAAAATTAATGTTTTAAAGATCAAAATTTAATGATAAAATTATTTTTTAAGGACTAAATATTTTTATTGCAAAAAATGTTATTATTATATTTTTAGTAATAAAAATTAGATATTAGTGATGAATTACCTTTTAGGACCAAATTTTTTGTCTAAAAAATAAACCATTTTGAGAACAAATTATTTTGTCCCTAAAAGTCTATTTATTATTGACAATTTCAAAAATTTTGTCACTAAAAGCCTTATTTTTGACTTTACATGATGACTTTTTAGCGATTATTCTCATGACGATGGAAATTGGTTCCTGAATGTCTTTTGCAACAAAATTTTCATTTTAGATACCAAAACATTTGATCTCTAAAACTCTTATATGTTGTAGTGGCATTTTGATCTCAACAAAAAACTAAAATAAAATAAAAAGAATAATAATAATTTTTAAATAAATTATATTGATAGTCCCTGCATATTGTCTTTTGTGTCATTTTAGTTTATATAATTTCAATTAATTCAATTTTTACCCTTAAATTTAGATTGTGTCAATTAAGATTTTGGAAGGAAAATGATGAATGAGTTGGTTGAGATTAATTCACTGAATTAAACGAGTTTACAATTTTGTTTATAAAAACATATTACATGACACTTATGTGAGCTTTTTTCATAAAAAAATACTAACAATTATAATCAATTAGACAAAATTAAGATAAAATCATAAATTTAAGATAAAAATTAAGTCAATTGAAATTACATGATAAAAATAACACACAAGGGTTATCAGTGTAATTTGCCCATAAATTTTCAAGTAATTCTATTTCCACACACAATTTACACTCTGTGAACATCTTTCTTAGTACACACGCTTAATGAATTTATTTGTTTTACTCATTCTACACACCAAATGTTTCAAACATGCCCATAACATATAATGTGTACAAAAATTCCAACACATTATGTACACACACTACATAAAACATAAACTCCCACCACACCCGTAAGCCTAAGTCAAAACCTAAACCGTGCCCTACACACACGACATTTTTTCGGCACACTCCAGTATTTTTCCGACCATATTTACTAAGGTATCCACAAAAAAAAAAAAAAATCAATAATTTTTTGTATTATTTTACTATTATTCTTTAAAAACTAATACTCTATTTAGTTTTAAGTTTTCAAAAATATTTTTGTTAATTTAAATTTTTTTTTTAGTAAACTTTTTACATATTTAATCAACCTTTTACTTTTTAGAATCACTTAATTTAGATACATTTTAAAAGTAAATTATTTGCCAAATTTTTTTTTAAAATAATAAATACAAAAAATATATATATCTACTGGATTTTTATTTTTTTGTATGCTTTTTAAGTGTATCTAAATTAAGTGAATCTAAAAAATAATAATAATAATTAGAATATTAAAAATGTTCACAAAAAAAAAATAATACGGATTGAAATTTCCAAAAATTATTTTTCAAAACTCAAAACCAAATTGAGTATAAGTTATTGTTATACTATTTTCATTATTCATTCCATATTGACTGACAACGAGATGGAAATAATTTGATACTGATTATCCATATACATTAAACAAATTCGACAATCAACAACTAAATCAAACAATAGTTTTTAGTTCTGTACTTCCGAACCAAATATAAATTTTCGACATATAACTATTTTTTAAGTTGGTTTTCGAATATATGAAATGTTTTCAAAAGTTAATTTCCATATATGTGCAATATTTTCAAATTTGATTTTTAGAATGAAAATTGCGACAATGAAAAAATATTTTCGAACCAAAAAACTCACCTATTCGTTGTCTAATTTTTTATTAACAATCATTTTTTTTTTTCTACATCTAAACATTCATTGTTTTGTTAATCTTCCATCATACAAATCAATAATAACAATAGGGTGTAATGGAACAATGTTATAAACAATGGATAAGGAGTGAAAATTTGAGCAATATCAATCAAATCTATGAGAAACAATGAAGGAATAGTAAAGTGAACAACGATCAATGGAGGAAGTAAGAAAAAAAAAATTAAAGAGTAAGCCTGATGTGTGTATTTTTTGAGAAAAAAAATTGTATATTGAGAATTTTTATATAAAAGATATGTAGTAAAAAAAATTAGTTTTAAGGATTGATGTATGTATCGATATCTATATTGATCATTTTGTTTAGTAGTAAAATTATAAAAAAAAAATTAAAAAAAATTAATTCATTAAATGTATGCATAGAAAGTAATGATGTGTAGAAATAGAATTACCTTAAATTTTCCTTAATCGCTAATGAAATGGTCATCTCTGACATTGACAAACACTACAACAAAAAAGGGTTTTTACGGCGCGCATTGCACGTCGTAAACACCCTTCTACGACGTGCAACGTAACGTCATATTATGACCAGTCATGAAAAGTCATTTACTTTCAACGGCATGTCATAGTACGTTGTTAAAAACTATTTAACAGCAGATCTTGCGCGTCGTTTTTACTTTTTCTACGACTACTTTTGCACGCCGTTAATTCGTGGGAAAAATAACAACGTTGATTGCGTGCCATAGAATATGTAATACAATGACTTGCTCAGCCTACCGTAGATAAGTAGAACATACCACGGCGTTCGTAGAATGCTGTGGAATATGTCATATAATGGCCTAATTTGCTTGCCGTAGAATATGAATTTTTTTTTTCTTAATTCAGCAAGTTCTATTTTGACTTATTTTGTATAATCTAACAAACATTACAAACAAGTTTCACAAAATATCAATCAGCTACTAAAATATTATTTCAAGCATAAAAAATAAACTACATCCATAAATTATGAACATTCAAAAATTGTCAATACATTCCAAACATTTAAAAATTAACCGTACGTTCAAAACCATCCAAAAGAACTATCCTTAAATTCTAAATTATCCAAAAAGTTAAAAACCATCCAAACTGTATCATATCCAAAAAGTCCTCAAAACTAGTCATCACCATCATCATCATCACTACTATTATTGGGCTCATACTCGGCATCTGAACCATCATCTGAACCATCTATTAGGCAAATGCACCTCACATGTTACAATTCTGAGGATTTCAAGTTATCAATAGTCAAGATTTCTAGCCAAAAAGATAAACAATATAAGATGTAAACTGATAGAAAACACTTACCCTGACTATGTGAACTCCTGCATAACAGTAGCAGTTTCCCTTACAAGTTGAGTAACAGGAATTGGTTCCTATACATTACCATCATCAGATCACATTGCAAGTTATAGTAGTTATAAAAGCTGTAATATTTTACGATAAAAAAATACATATAGCATAACTTGTGATTTCCCAAATGAATTGGCAAGGATACTTCATGTATCCAAGGTCACATTGAGCTGCATCTAAATAACATGAACCATTACTAACATATACTTGTCCATTTGAGAAACTACAAAAATGTGACCTTCAAGAAGAGCTACACACTAGTAAGAAGACGAAACTCACTGTACAGGTGCACCACCTTCTTAGACTGACTTTTAACCAAACATTCTCATTCTTGCCAAAAGTAATAAATAAAATCATGGAATGGGAAATAGAAAAGGAAATTCCTTTTTGAGAAGCCAATAAATAATATTATAGAAGCTAATTTGGACTTCATTAAACACTCAAATTTTGGTAGAAAAAAATTAAAATGGAGGTTGAACCAAATATGTTAGTAATGGTCATTAAGAGCCTTTAATCCATTTAGAGAGACAAAGAAAGTTCCTAGATAGGGAAGAAAGAGGGTGAAAGAGAGAAATACGACAGAAACATGCTAAGTGAGGAAAGATAGCAAAGGTAATAGTTTACATCCACTTACTTTCTATGAGATTACAAAATCACCTCTTAATTATGTATTTTCTTATTACTTTCTGGGATATTTATTGAAGAAAAATACTAAAGTGGAATACCAATATAGTAGTAGTACCTGACGTTAAAAAGACAATCTAGAGTTCCTCCATTGATAGTTCATTCGCAGAGAGAAATTTTTGAACATTGTGCAACTGCATGTTGGTCATGATATGTTGGTATAGTAGCTTAGGAGATCATAGTATTCTGCAATAAGTTCTATTGTTATTATTCTTATCTCATAACTAACATCAGTGATGGACATTCTAGTGTTTTTGAATTTTTCATTATTTTTCCCCAAATTAGTTTTTAGTGTTTTTTAGAAAAAAAGTATATTTTGATAGGTATTTGTAGTGTTCCACCAATAAGGTAATGCAAGTTTACCATTATATTAACGATACATGTTAGTTTTATTTTTATTTTATGTTATGAAAAATAAAATCAATAATTTTACACATAATACAACTAAATTTATTTTGGGTGGAGTAAGGGGAAATTAATTAATTTTATGTATATTATAAAATATAACAGGTATTAATTTATTTGTGCATTAAACTCATAATTTTTTAATTTTTTTTTATAATTTTACACAACTTTTAAATTTACAAATAATACTCTATTTTGTTTAGAGTTTTCAAAAATAGTTTTTTGAGTTTTCAATTATTATTTTTATATTTTTAGTGATTTTTTAAATATTTTTATTTTTTAGATCCACTTAATCTTGACATACTTAAAAGGTATAAAATTTGTACAAAAATCTTTAAAAGATTTATTGAATACAACAAAATACGAAAATATATTGAATTTTCTTATTTTTGGTTTTTTTTTTTTTGGTATTTGGTGAATTTTTTTTTTTTTAAAAATTATATAAATATTTTGCTCTTTAAGTGTATCTAGATTAAGTATTTCTAAATTTTTTTTAAAAACTACGTAAAATATTAAAAAAATTACTAAAAAATAAAAACTTAATTTTCAAAAGTGAGTTAAATCAAAAGTTTTATATAAGAGAATCAAAATGATTAAAAAAAATGAGTATAATATATATAGACAAAAAATATTTATCCCGTGCATAGCACGGGGTGAACGCTAGTTATGAAATACAGGAAATAGATAAATGCTAGGGGAGAGATTTTAGGAACTTGTAATTCAAATATATATTTTTTAAATCTATAGTTACTTTATTAGTCAATATTATTATTTTTAAATATTTTTAAAATTACAAAAATTAACAATTGTGATTTTACGTTCTTTTTAATCTGTAAATTTTTTTTATTATTATAAATATATAATTATTTTATTATGAGATGATATTTGTTTTTTTTTAATATATAATGTTTTTTTAATATATAATTACTTTGTTATGAGATGAGATTTAGGAAAAGGAGAAATATTAAGGGAGAGATTTTTGGGACTTGTAATTCAAAATTTTAGGTATTTTTTGTTTTTTTTCCCCTTCAATCTATAATTACTTTGTTAGCCAATAGAATTATTTGTAATATTTTTAAAATCACAAAAATTAGCAATTGTGAAATGAAATTTTGGAACTCTCACAAATCTTCTCACTATAAACTTTTTTTTATATATAATATATAGATATATAGATAATTTATTTTGATTATTTGACTGCTGAATTTCAGTCTTAGGGCGTGGATCGAAAATTTTGGCCATATGGTATAACCTCAATTAAAGTAGTCATGTGGCAATATAGTATTGATTGAAATTGTAATATTGATCAAATTTCTGGAATAATATGGTAAGGAAATTTCAGTTCATGAGTTGGGTTAGGATTAGGGTCGCAAATAAATTGAATTGTTCACAAACAGCTCAAGTTCGACTCGTTTACGAAATGAACGAGTTCAAACTCGAGTAGTCCTAAGTTTGGTTTGATAAGGCTCGTAAACAAAAAAATAAATATTTATTTTTAATAATATATTAAATAAATGTTCAATAATCTATTTTATTTTTTATTTATATTTGGTGTTTGTGTAAATTTACATATTTGATTGATGAAATTTATTATCAATATAAGTATTATTATATATTTTAGTTATAATTTTGTATTTTTTTAATCTTAATAAGTAAATTAATTTAATATTTTTTTTGAGCTCAAGCTGAGCTCGAGTTCAATAAATATTTGACAAGTCGAACTCGAGCTTGATTTTTTAAGTTTGACTGGAGCTCGGTTCGAATTCGAGCTCAACTAATTCTTAAGAAACAAACTTGAACATTTAAAAACTCAACTCAACTTAACTCGGCTCGTTTGTATACCTAGTTAAAATAGACTTCTTAGGTTAAAGTCAAACCAACTTAAGTTGGAAAATACTTGCTATGCAAGTATATTCTTAAATAGAAAATAAAACTTAAGAGGCATAAGAGTCTTATATAAAGAATACACTATGTGAGATTAGAATACACAAATTCTAATAATATTTATGTTAGGGCTATTGAATGTCTTAGTGTTTCAGATTGAGAAAGTTGCAGACTTTAGCACGTGAAGTTGAGGTACATATATTTTAATAATAAATGAGAGGGTAATTTTTGGGAAAAATTGGGCCGAGCTGCAAATTGGGCTTTGAGGCCCAAAACGCGAAGGACTAAGTAAAAAGGCCGTAAAGGATACTCCGGCCCAGAGAGCAATGTTACTCCGGCTGGGAGAAGTAAATGTTACTTCGGCTCATGGATGTAAACACACACCCGCCGGCTAGCTCACGTTTGTGTTTTCAGGTGACAAAGCGACGTCGCACGAAGGAGCGTGGACTTGGTCAACAGGATTATACGAGGAGAATTATTTCCTCCCCGTACAATAAACATCTATGTTATTGAGTATTTTATGTTTTAAAGAGAGAAAATTGTTGATTTTAATATCAAAATGTCTTTCCGATTTTCATACTCTCCGGAAAGAGGCTATATTTCTAGTGAAACGATTCTATTCACAAATACATCTGACATTCAATGTAATTTTAAGAGAGAAAATAGTATGGTCGATAAATCTAAACCCTCCGTTTAGTGGAATTGTGAAAAAGTGATTATAATTTATAATTTAAGGTTGTGTTTAATTGAGAGATTTGGGAAGAGATTTGAAAAGAGAAAGAAAAAAGGTGTGTGAAACTATGTGAAATATAGGCATGTTTTTTTCACATTTCACCTATCTTTTCCATTTCTCTTTCTAAATCCCTCATCAAATCCCTCAACCAAACACAGCATAACAATTTATAGCTTATAACTGTGAATATAAACTAATTTTTTACTTATAAATTAAGGTTCTCATCTCTCCACTCAAAGAATAAGTTAATTTTTGACTTAGAAAAAGCTATAAGCTGTATTGTTAAGCTGAACCGAACACATCAAAATAACTTAAATTAAGCTAAAAACTGAAATAAACTCTACCAAACAGGGCTATAGTACTATGCTACCAAAAAAACAAACCGAAAAAAGGAATCCTAAATTTATAATAATATTAGGGGCCTAAAGGAAATATGGAACAGAAATATCAGAAAATATGGAAATATATTGGAGTGTAGAGGCCCATAAGTAAATTTCAAATCTCTCTCTCTCTCTCTCTCTCTCTCTCCTCATTCACTGGAGAAGCTCTGTAATGAATGGAAACCACATCCTTCTCTAAGCCCTTCGCCTCCGCAAAATCTATTGTTTTCATTCCAAGCAGAGCTCTAATGGCGATTCAGTCGTCTCCTCACAGCGTAAATGTTCTTATATCTATATCTATATATATATATATATATATCTGTACACATACATATACACTCAATAATTCACAAATTCATTGCAAAACTTTCAAGTAAGTGCTATTTTGAACTCTTCACAGTGAATTTGAAGATGTTCCAACGTATTTAAACGAATTGGTGTTAGTTTGCAACGATTACATTGAGAGTGTGCATTGGACTTAGTATATGTAAATTAATCAATTTATGTGTTGATTTTCATAGGCTAGTGTTGTTTTGGGGGTGTGTATACGCAACTTATTTCAAAGTAAGTGCTAATTTTGAACTATACACGGCAAATTTGCGTATGTTTCATCAACTCAAATGAATTGATGTTAAGTGCAATTTTGAACTATTCAAAGTGAATTTGTATATGTTCCATGTACTCGAATGAATTGGTGTTAGTTTGTAATGGTTACATTGAGAGTGTGCCGTGATTTTGAGCTTATTAAATAACTTGGGTTTTGTGTTGTTTTGAGCTTGTGTTTGTATACACAACTAATTCAAAGTAATGTTATTTTGAACTATTCAAAAGAATTTATGTATGTTACATGTACTCAAACAAATTGGTGTTAGTTTGTAGCGGTTACATTGAGGGTGCACTGTGATTTGGGGCTTATTATACCTATATTTAAATAACTTAGGTTATGCATTCAGTGGGTGAAGAATTTTATCTTTTTTAGCCTTGGAATCAGTGGGTGAAGTAGAAAAGATTATGCAAATTTGGATGGATGATGCATATGATTGCAAGAAGTTATCAGAAAAGGAAGAGAACGTGCAATTATTGTAACTGCAGATTTTATTTTTCTGTGTATATATATATATTTATTTGTTGTTGTGTCCCTGCTGTGTTGTGTCTTGGGATTTTGAAAATTGTCATTTCAGGGTGTTACTAGGTTGTCGTATGGTGTTTGTTTCATGTCTCTATCTGTTCTTATTTGGGAAGCATGAAGGATAGGAAAGGATTTTTTATTTTTATTTTTTAAAGCATTATGGGGCATCTATTTTGACTATGTTGTTAGTGTTTGAGAGCCAAACGGAGTGTAAGGGTTTAAGGTGACACAAAGTAAATTCATAGGGTCACTTTTAGGCATCATCGGAAGATAGTGTAATACAGACTTGGTTATAGCTGGGAAATATTTGTTAGAAATAAAACTTAAATCTGTTGGTGTATTTTTAGCAAGCTAGATTAACGTAGATGTTGGTTGGATGCATTTTGGGGGTTCCACAATTGACCCTTGACTGGTGGGCAAAGATTGTTGGAAGCCATAACTTCAGAGATAGGGGCAAACTAATCTACGCACTTAGTAATAACCCAGTTTTCTGTTATGGATTCCTATTGGGTACCATAACAATAGTGACAAGCCTCTTTGACCTTAATAGTATGATCTTGGCAGCTCTCCCCATAGGTTGTTGGGTGAAAAAGTTGACAAACTATATGTTGACAACTGCTAATTTTTCCACTGTACTTCCTTTTGTTGGTTGTGATATTCTATATATGTCCACGCACCATTACTTATGCTTGTTAAGGTTGTAGTGATCATCTATTGGGCACAATTCTCAGTATTCCTGTAACAAAATAAAAGTTGAATTACTTGACATTAGATTTCTTTTCAAAAGGAAGTTGCAATCTATCTTGGTTTGGATAGATGCTGCATGTTCAAAATATGCATTGATTCATGTGAGTTACCTTTTTACCTGTACAAAACCACTCTCCCTCTCTCTCTCTCCCTCCCTCTTGTGGTAATGTTTATGCCTTTTTTAGTGTTCGCATTCTCTTCTATGGGCATCAATAAAACAAGCAAAAGGCCCTAAATTCATTTATTGTATAGTTTAAGACTCATTTGGCTTGTCTTTTATCACTGAATTTGGATATCATGTTTTAATCCATCTGAAAAATACTTTTTAAGTTGGAACTGATTTAACTTGTTCTATATACTCAGGTTCTGTCGTTGAGAACTTGCTCATCACTTAGGAATACCACTTCTATTAACTTATTATATTTCAGAAGAAGCTCTTCGGTCAAAGTCTTATCTCTCTTGAACCTGGCATGCTATTCTACTTATTCCAGTGACAAATCTTGTTCCTCATCAAAGCGAAGATCTCGTGGACCTGTTATGGCGGCAAAAAAAGCGTCTGAAGGTATGGAGTCATTTATTTTAGCAGTTGACTATGAGGCTACGAGCTGATCATTGAAAGATATACTGATTATTATGTATCAAGTTTTGTAGATTTTTTGTTGCGTTTTCTGGCTACATTTCCTTTATTATCTGAGGACAGTTTACTCTTGTAGTTCAATGATGTGTTTAAGATTATTCAGGGGCAAAGCAGGAAGAAGGAAGGTACAAGCATACAGTTGATCTGCCTAAGACAACATTTGGCATGAGGGCAAACTCTTCTGTAAGGGAGCCTGAGATTCAGAAATTATGGGATGAGAATCAGGTGTTTAAGAGAGTTGCTGATAGGAATAATAGGGTGAGTTCTTTTTTAGATTGGGTTGGGATTTGTTGTACTATAGTTGCATTAATTTCTAGCTGATGTTGAATTACTTTGACAGGGAACTTTTGTTCTTCATGATGGTCCCCCATATGCCAATGGTGACTTACACATGGGTCATGCTCTAAATAAGATTTTGAAAGATATTATTAATCGCTATAAGGTGTGCTTTCCCCCTAGTTTCAAATGTAATTGTCTTACCCTTGCTTTTACATAAATGTTCATCCTTTCAAAATTGATGGCTTATGAACATATGAACTTTTCTATGCCCATGTGATCCTGCATTGTTGGGAACGTATGGAAGCAGGGATGGGAGAACATATAACATGTATGCATATGATATGATCGTGTATGTAATTAAGAAACAAATGTTTGTTTGAGTGTTTGTTTGAGAGAAAACAAAACTTAGGGAATAATAATGATATCATCCTCTTTTATATTAATCAACCAACAGTTACAAAGAAAGTCCTAAGGCACTAATTAAGGAATCACAGTATAATTTGAATAAGGAAACAAATAATAGAAAGACTTTAACATATATTGTAGCACTCCCCCTTAAGCTGGTGCAAAAATATTGCTCATGCCTAGCTTGCCAAGAATATCATGAAATGGTTTCCTTCCAACTTCCTTAGTGAGGATATTTGCAAGTTGTTTACCAGACTGCACAAATGGAGTACATATTCTGCCACTAGTGAGCTTTTCTTTGATGAAGTGACAATCAATCTCAACATGCTTTGTCTTGTCTTGTTAAACCGAATTATGAGCAACGTTGATGGCAGCTTTATTATTACAAGATAATCTCACGGAGACTTTCTAGTCGATTCCCAGATCATGCAACAACAACTTGATACACAAGAGCTCACACACACCTTTTGCCATAGCTGTAAACTCAACTTCCGCACTAGACCTGGTAACCACATTTTGTTTCTTACTTCTCCAAGTAACCAAATTGCCTCCAACAAAGGTACAATACCTTGAAGTGGACCTCCTATCAGTGACTGATCCAACCCAATCAGCATCCGTATAAGCTTCCACACTAAGAAGATCATGTTTGAAAAAATAAAGACCTTTTCCAGGAGAAGATTTAAAGTATCCTAAAATTCTCATAATTGCCGCCAAGTGTGTTTCATGAGCAGCATGCATAAACTAACTAACCACACTAACGGCAATAGCAATATCAGGATGAGAATGGGGTAAGTAAATCAGTTTATCCACTAGTCTCTGATAACTCCCCCTATCAACGACTGCTCCCCCACTATCATCACTAAGTTTCTGATTAGGCTCTTTGCTTTCGAGCATCCCTGTTTCCTTTAATAGGTCAAGGACATATAAAAATTCCATCTTTAGACCTAGCCACTTCAATCCCCATAAAGTATTTCAGGTTCCCCAAGTCTTTGATTTTAAACTCACTTGCTAAATACTTCTTCAACAAAGGAATTTCCTCAACATCATTTCCTATAAGAATTATGTCATCTGCATATACAATGAGAGTTGTAGTCTTACCATGAGAGGAATGTTTAACAAACAGAGTATAATCAGCCTAACTCTATTTGAAGCCATATTTTAGCATGGCCTAAGTGAACCCCTCAAACTAAGCCCTAAGAGACTGTTTGAGGCTATATAATGACTTCCGAAATTGACACACCTTACCCTTAGTTTGAAGAGTTTCAAAGTTAGGAGGAATATCCATATACACCTCCTCTTCTAGGTCACTATGCAGGAAAGCATTCTTCACATCAAACTGATGAAGTGACCAATCTAGATTAGCTGTCAGAGAGAGAAGTACTCTGACTGAATTCATTTTCGCAACTGGAGCAAAATGTCTATTGGTAGTCCACCCCATAAGTTTGAGTAAAATCCTTTGTCACAAGTCGAGCTTTATACCGCCCAATAAAACCATCTGCTTGTGCTTCATAGTATACACTCATTTGCGTCTCACAGTTCGTTTGCCCTTAGGTAACTCAGTCAAATCCCAAGTACAATTCGTATGAAGTACTTTCATTTCCTCCAACATGGCCAGTTTCCACTCAAGAATAGTAAGAGTATCCTGAAAATGATTAGGTAAACTAACAGAGGAAATTTTTGACACAAAGGCTTTATATGAAGAGGACAAATGAGAATAAGATACAAAGTTATAAATAGGATGATGAGTGCAAGATCTCACACTCTTTTTCTTGGCAATGGGTATATCAAGATCAGTAGGTTCAGGCTCAGAGGTACCAATATCAGGATTTTCAAGGTTACTTGGATCTTCATCAAGAGAAGGAGACAGCAGTAATTGGTTAGAAATGGTCTCTTGTATCCAAGTAATTCTGTTCTCCGAGGGAGCTACTTTGTTCCAGAGAAAAAGCTGCCGTACTTCTTACCGGCTTAAAGGCCCTCACTAGCTTGGTTGTACAAGGAGGGGGCTACTACGCTCACCACGCACTTGCATTACCACCTGAGCTTCGCTTTTTGGGACGACTAGACATATATGTTTTTTGAAGATAGCCTGTTCGGACCGGTTACTAACTCAGTAGCTCTCTCTTCCTCAGATACCTTCAGTGACTCTGGCTTTATCGCATAAGAAATGAATGCCTGAGGCATTTATTTTCTACAATCAAGCTACAAGCATTAACAACGGTTTCGTTTAACCCTTTCTGTTCTATTTCTACGAGCGAATAGGACCGCAAGGAATAGTTAATTCATCAAACCACTCTGCCCTTTCCCCCCCTTGATCAGCTGGACCTATATTAGCCCAAGAACTCTAGGTATCTTTTCCATCCACTTGTGGAAGGGCTACTCTTGGAAGGCTGGCTTTAAAGGTCTATTATGAAAAGTAGCCCTTGACCCCCCGTAACGCAACTAGCTGTTTTATCTACGACCTACCAAGCACTGAGCCTTGAGCCGAAAGGATAGATTCTGTTCTCCGGGAGTCTGCCTTTCTTTATCCCTGATATAGACTTGCCCTTCTTTGTTCTTGGCAACATTGGATTCAGTATTTCTAGTGATAGATACCATTGGAGGTGGTACTGGACCAGGAATAACAGGTACCTTTGATGGCAGTACTACACCATGAATAATAGAACTAACATGACTCTCTTCTCTCCAAGGCTCCCCCTAAAGAGATGACTGGGACACTGGACTGGAGAAGAAGTAGGATTGAGATTCAAAAAAGGTGACATCCATCGACACAAACCATTTATAAGAGGGAGGATGATAACACTTGTACCCTTTTTGAGTGGGCGAGTAACCCAAGAACACACATTTAAGAGAACGAGGATCCATCTTACCTGAGAAGGAGAATGATTGTGAATAAAGCACACACATCCAAAGGTTTTTGGAGGAATGGAAAACAGAGGCTTAGAACCTAAGAGAACTTGAAGAGGTGCCCGTTTTTGCAAGACTTGTGTAGGAAGATAGTTAATGAGGAATGCAGCAGTGAGAACAACCTCGGCCCATTTGGCCCGAGGGACACCCATGGAAAAACACACACAGTGAACCATATCAAGGAGATGGCGATTCTTGCGCTTGGCAACACTATTATGTTGAGGGGTGTTAGTGCAAGATGTTTGATGGATAATGGCATGAGTGAAAAAATATTGTGCCAACCCAGAATCAATGTAACCCTATTATCAAAATACAGGACTTTGACAACTGCCCCACACTAAGTACTAACCATCTTATGGAAGTTTTGAAACATAGAAAAAAATCTCACATTTTTCTTTCATGAGATACTCCCAAGTAGCACGAGAGCAATCATCTATAAAAGTAACAAACCATCGGTGACCGTTCATAGACCTTGCACGAGAGGGACCCCAAACATCCGAATGAATTAAAGAAAAAAGAATTGAACTTTTATTATTATTAGGAGCAAAAGAAGCTTGGTGTTGTTTGCCAAGTTGGCAGGACTCACAATGAAATTCAGAGACTGTATTTTTAGTAAAAACAGAAGGAAATAAATATCTAAGTAATAAACAAGAGGGATTTCCTAGACGTCCATGCCACAACCATAAATCTTCCTTGGTGGATGGAGACTGGATGGAATGATGAGCCTACTGGTCAGTATGATTGAGGATATAGAGACCATTTTCTGTTCTGCCATTGCCAATCGTCTTCTTTGTGATAAGGTCCTATAAAAGACAAGAATCAGGGAAAAAGGTTACACTACAAATTAAGGAATCACAGTATAATCTGAATAAGGAAACAAATAATAGAAAATTTCTAATATATATTCTAACAACAAAAACGATACATTCTTGCCATATCCATTTTGACTTGAAGTCATAAACACTCCTGGGATTTTAGTTCAAGATATAATGATACTGCAGTGTTCATATTGTGGGTAGCCTAATGAATATTGGAGGTTGTTGTATCCAAATGAACGATTGATGCCTGTCACATACTATGGCATGGTACGTGGATTGGTTGAGGCCTAATTTTACTAAATTTGATCAACCTTGATGTGGCCTAGCTGTAGCTCTCTTGGGAAGCTTTCTAATACTTGTTCTATTCATTGTATGGCATTGTTATGCATATTACATTTTATCAACGGTAGTATATTTTAGTACTTATTGTTCTCTTTTGCTTCCTCATCGACTCTTTTGGTCTATGCTAGTACTGAATAGGTTGGTGACATTTCTGATTTCATGTTTATGTTTTTCTTATTTATTCCCAATTCTCTTGGAAAAGCAAGAGGTAGTTTGTTTGTTACTCGTTCCATTGTTGAGGTTGAATAGGTGATATGAATCATGTTATGGTTGAGATCGTTTGGTTCCATTAACTTTCTCTAATTGTGGTTTTCACTCTAATCTCTTACTTCACTATATTGTGATAATAAGAATGCTCTGTAGATTGCCTTAATACTCTATTTTCATGAGCGCACGAAACATATAGAGTTTGGTTGTCATGTTGTTCACCAACATCTTCAGGTGGGAACCATTGATATGTCTTTTGTCTCCTCTTCCTTGCAACTTTTGGACTTTTCAACAAGGCTCAACTTTTGCTTGCTTTTAATTCTTGCTTGATGAACTCTCGATGTTTGACAGGATCATGCCATGAGTTTGAGGGGATGTATACAATGTATTTTATAGGGGTATTTAGGCATTAAGCATAGTAGGATTTTATCTTTATTTATTTGTATAACTATGTAATTATGTTTTGAGGTTAATACAATTCAACTCTCTCCAATATTGTGTATCTACAACAATTTGTACATCTTGTATTGTGTATCTACAACAATTTGTACATCTTGTATTTGGGTGTAACAAAAATGAGTTAATTCTGGAGCCATATTGTCCTAGTTGTCATGATAGCTGTGGATTGATGTTTCCACCTTGGGAAAAGGTAAAAAAGAAGAAAAGTACTTGGCTGTAAACAAAGGGGAGAAGAAGAGGGGGTGGGGGGTTGAGCTTGTTTGTATTTATCTATCTATAACATCTAAATTTTGGATTGGTAGTGCCCAATATGTGTTGCGTTACTGTGTTTACTAATACATTAAACTACAAGGAAATTCAATTCCTTTGGGTAATTTGTTATTTAAAAATGTTATGATTTGAAGGTTGTATAATTTATCTGAACGGTCAATTATATCATATATATTTTACTCTCTTTTTTCTGCAGCTTCTTCAAAACTATAAAGTACATTATGTGCCTGGTTGGGATTGTCATGGCCTACCAATTGAGTTGAAAGGCAAGTATTAATTTATATGCTGGTTTTTGTAGTGTTGGCATCTACTTTCAACTCATGTTTTACAATCTGTTGATGCTGTTGCTTTCAGTTATCTGCCAAAACTGAAAACTTTATTGACTTATTATCTGTGGTGGGAATCTTGGAAATTGGAGGCTTTATGTCATTTTACTTTGGTCACATGTAACTAATTGCAGTCAAAAAAATTTACGATGCTATCTAAGTCACCAAAAATAATACTCAATAAATAAAAAATAAAAGATAATGACAAAATTAGTTATCTACTTTCAACTCATGTTTTACAATCTGTTGATGCTGTTGCTTTCAGTTATCTGCCAAAACTGAAAACTTTATTGACTTATTATCTGTGGTGGGAATCTTGGAAATTGGAGGCTTTATGTCATTTTACTTTGGTCACATGTAACTAATTGCAGTCAAAAAAATTTACGATGCTATCTAAGGCCTCGTTTGGGAACAGGCTAATTTAGTAACTTTTGGGCTATTTGGCTAAAAAGGTAGGTAAAAGAAACTTGTATGTTTGGGATGACTTTTTGGCTAATTACGAAAAGATGTGCAAAAAGTAGAGAGAAAAGAGAATCTTTGACTTTTTGGTATGGGTTGTTGGCTTTTTGGCTAATTTAGTAACTTTTTGGCTAATTGGCTAAAATAGCCTCTTGCCAAACGAGGCCTAAGTCACCAAAAATAATACTCAATAAATAAAAAATAAAAATAATGACAAAATTAGTTGTTAAATTCTAATTTTTAATATATCTTCATCAATGCCTTCATGTACCCCATCATATGGTCTTTCACAAGTTGAACATAATTTTTCTTTTGGCATTCACATAAATGGATATAATTTAATCTTAAATGAAAAAAGAAAAAAGAAAAAAAAGAATGACCAACCACTTGCTAGCAGCACAGGTAAAAAAAGAAGGGCGAATTACACTAATAGTCCCTATAGTTTGAGACTTTTGTCATTTTAGTCCCTGATTTTTCAATTGTGACACATTTGACTATAAATTTTGAATCTTGTTTCAAATAAGGCCAATTGAAGATACCATTGCTTAATTTCAAGGATAAAATCGTCAATTTGATAAAATATAAACTAATTTGACAAAAATAATGTCAAAAAAATATTTTTAAATTTTTTAAAAAAATTTCTACCTACCAAAGATAAAATTATGTAAAATTGATAAATCTTTTAGACATTTATTTATTTATTTATTTTACCAAATTAATTTTTATTATATGTTCGGATGATGATCATGTAATGAGTAGTTGTTAAGTTTTTAATGTGTAGTCGATACATTTAATATATGAAATGTTTTTAGTTTTGGATTTTTTGATTTAATGGATTGGTTTAATAATGATATCAAAGTTATCTCCATATTTGAATTTTGAAAAAATAAAAACTAATTTAATGAAAAAAAAAACAGCCATTCATTACATGATTATCATCCAAACACATAATAAAATTAATTTGGTAAAAAAAAATAAATGTCTAAAAGAATTATCAATTTTACATAATTTTATCTTTAGTGGGTAGAAATAATTTTTTAAAATTCAAAAATGTTTGTTTGACATTTATTTTTGTCAAATTAGTTTATATTTTATCAAATTGACGATTTTGCCCTTGAAAAATTCAATGGTATATTTAATTGTCCTTATTTAGAATAAGATTCAAAATTCAAGATCAAATGTGTTATAATTGAAAAGTCAGGGACTAAAATGACACAAGTCCCAAACTATAGGGACCGTTAGTGTAATTCACCCAAAAAATAAACAAGAAAAATGGGTATGTTGCCTTTTTTTAATCTGGACTCAATTCCGTACCTCTACTCAGTAGCTTCCAGTGCAGGAAAAACAGTATACAAGTTATTAAGAGTGAAGAATTATTGACTGTTGTCTACAAACCTTAATAAGAAGTCTACTATTTAAAAGATGTTTTAATTTATACCATGCAAATATCTTTTTCTTCTTCAAATTCTTTTTGCTTTGTTGCATGTGTTTCATTGATCTGAAGGATTAAGAAATAATTGCAATGATATTGTTAAACCATTTATTGTCGAAGCTTATGTCTCTTAGACATGGTTGCTCATTCCTAGGCCTATCTTTTGATATTAGAAATGTGCTTTTTTTCCCCTCAGCATGGCTGGCAGTGATAACCTTTTAGTTGCATAGCTTTCTTGTAAACTGGAAGCTGGTAATTCTTATTTATGGTTGATTTTACTGCTGTTTTGAATTTTTCAGTGTTGCAGTCATTGGATGAAGATGCTAGAAGGGAGCTAACACCATTGAAATTGAGAGCGAAGGCAGCCAAGTTTTCAAAAGCCACTGTTAAGACACAGATGGCATCATTTAAGGTTACACTGTAGTTGTAAATTTAGTTAACATAAATTTCTGGTATCCATATTAAAACATCAAGTAATATTTTGCCATTTGTTTCTAAACTCTTTGTAAAGTTAGATATCATTAATTTTTTAGTCAATTTTCACCCCAAAAAAGTCCTTTTCATTTGCAAATCAGTGTTAATAGTTAGTTTAGCTGAGACTTGACTATGAAGATATATTTTCAACTTTTACAGCGATACGGAGTATGGGCAGACTGGGATCATCCTTACCTGACTCTCGATCCAGAGTATGAGGCTGCTCAGGTAGGTGGTACCTCATTTCTTAAAGTTTCTTTGCTAGGGATTCTTGAAATTGAATTTAAGTTGTGAACTTCCTGTTACAATAATAAACCTGTAGGATGAACTAAGGATTTCAATGGGGTGGGGTTTGGTATTGGGCTTTCCTCTCCCAACACTGCCCTGACATGAAAGGTTTGTATCATGAACCCGTTCCAAACCTGACTCAGGTTACTACTTCTCATCTCATCCCTGAATCCACAATCATCCATCGTGGCCAATCCGGTCCTGCCTTTCCTGATTCAGATTGAAATTGGGAGTTTCACTTTCCTCCAAAATCGATAACGATCTATGGATTCAAATACACAAACAAGTCGAAAGAAAGTTTTCATCTGAAAACATGCAAAAAGAAATGCAAATAAGACCCAAAAGATCAAGGAGAAGATGAAGATGAGGGGACAGAGAGAGGAAATATAGAAGGACAGGTTGTGCCCCTCTTATGTGGTGTTTTCCCAATTAAATTTTAGTTATAAAATAGAAAGTGGAAACATATATATATATATACATAGAGAGAGAGAGAGAGAGAGAGAGAGAGAGAGGTTTTTGGTTCGTCTGTGGTAGTTGTGACAGTGATGAACCAGAGAGAGAGGTTTTTGGTTCGTCTGTGGTAGTTGTGACAGTGATGAACCAGTGACGGGATGGGTTTTGAGGTGAGGTTAACTCACAAACAACCGACATGGTGTGTATAAAGTGTGGTTTGGACATAAGAGGAGAAAGAGGAAAGTGGCAGAAGCAGGATAGTAAACCTAACTCATTCTTGTTTTATATATAAAATGGATATCGTGGAAATTAAAGTAATACCAGTGATATTTTAGTTATATGAATACATATTTGGGGTGGGGACATCTAAACCCATTACTGCCTCAAATCTACCCCTTCCCCAATTAAGATATCTCCAAGCCTGTTCTAATAGGAGCAGGTTACCTAATTTATTCAGTGTTAATTTTCATCCCTAGAATGATTTGTAACTATTTGTGGTGCCATTAATTCTAGGATTTTTATTAATATTTCTAATTGGTGAAACTCTTTTTGATATTAGTCATACCACTAGAGAGACACCCATATATAGTTGCAGGTACCCTTTGTCTTACTTAGCAGATTAAAGGGTGTTTCTTTCTTTTTCATGCCATGTTACAATTTGTTGAGCTGCTTAGCTATTGTTTCTTCTGTATCCCTTCGTTTACTAGATTGAGGTGTTTGGTGAGATGGTCCTCCAAGGTTATATCTACAGAGGCAGAAAACCAGTCCACTGGAGTCCCTCATCACGAACTGCTCTTGCAGAGGCCGAGTTGGAGGTAAATGGACCTTTTTAAGTTACTTTTTTAGCTTCCATTGAACCTATCATAGAATGTCTTATGTCATTGTTATTGTGAAAATTGATACAATTTGAAAGTGTGGTATGTAGCTGACAGTTACTGAAAAGCTTGGAATTGACTGTAATTTAAACTACATCCTTTCTATCTGCTACTGATCCATATTAGGAAATAGTATTTACCTGAATTTTGAAATAAATACGAAAGGAGTTTCTCATTTTTCTAATACTTGTATGAAGTGGATGAACCTGTTAATTGGATCCAGTTGGGTAGCAATCCTCTCTGTCACGACCCCAGCCCTAGATTTTAGGGAGTGGAAGATGTGACCGGTTAGTAGCACCTTGCTACCAAAGGCCTCACCTCACATAACCAATTCCTGTGTGTTAACATCAACCCATTGGACAAGGTTTTAAAAAGCGGCCGCAACCGTTACGTAACCGCAACCGTTACGTAACGCCGTTACGTAACGGTTGTGATGGTTACCGCCACCTGTTACGGCCGCTTTTACAGTGTGATTGAGATTCACGGCTGTGTTGGCAGTAGCGATTGCCGTAGAGGTCGTAACCAGTGTTTTTAAAGGCTCAAGGCGCACTAAGGCACTGAAGGTCTCTCGGGGCCTAGGTGCATGGCGCAAAGCGAGGCGCGGACTTTATTGAAGTAAGGCGCACAGTCTTAGTAAAAATTAGATAAATTAACATAGATTAATCATTCATAGTACTAAGACAATTTTTTTTTTTTTTTAAATAAAAAGTAATCAAGACAAATTATAGAATAATTATGCATTAACTTTAATTTGTTCATCAATTCTTTCTCTTCACTTTACATAGTTAATTATGTAGCAACTTTGTTTAAACTGTACAAATAACACAATATTATTAAACGCAATTTGTTGATTTTTTTTTTTTCCATATTAGTTTTTTATTTTCATTTATTTGAAGCTGGAAACAAATTTCATATTAGTTTCATGACAATAAAATTGTGTATAACATGTAAGAATAAATGTATAAAGAGAGAATAAATTGTGTATATATTGATATATGTTATTGTGTGTATACAAGAGAATGAGCCCTCTCTCTTTATAGAGAGGAGAGGGAGACAATTGGAATACTTAAGCACCGAAAGCATAGTGGGTGAGCTCTTTACAGCTTACAAATGCCAGCCTACAAATGCACTATAGTGTATAATATATTATATTGTTAACATAACATTGTGTATGACTTTTAAAATTATTTTCAATAGTTATTTATGTAGTTGTTTTATTTGAATGGAATGTAATTACTTTTAATTGTTTTTCGAATTAAATTTTGATATTTAAAAATTTGAATTCATAACATAAATGAAAAGAATTAATAAAATAAGTGAAGCGAGAGAATAAGAGAGATAAGAGAGACAAGAAAAAGGGTTAGAAAAATGGCAAGTGAAATTGAGACCTATTCTTATTTGTATAAGCCTTATTTGTATTTCAGTGTAATATAAGCCTTATTTTTATTTTTTTCAACAGAGACTAAACTGAAATTAATAAGAAGAAAAAGCAGAAGAATAAGAAGGGGAGAGAGAGAGAGAGTCAAAGTCGGAGTCGAAGAAGCAAACCAAAAAAAAAAACAGAGCAAGTCGAAGAAGAAGCAAGCAGCGAAGAAGAAGAAGGGGGTGGGAAAAAAAAAAGGCAGCGGATTTCTTCTTCGCTGACCAGCGAAGAAGCAGAAGTAGAAGCAGAAGAGAAGAAGAAGAAGAAGAAGAAGAAGAAGAGTGACCTAATGAGCCGAAGTCGACGTTGAGAGGAGAGAAGCCCAGTCGAAGTCGAAGTCGAAGTCGAGAGAGGAGCTCAGTCAAAGAAGAAGAAGTGACCTGATGAGCCGAAGTCGACGTCGAGAGAGGAGAGAAGCCCAGTCGAAGTCGAAGTCGAGAGAGGAGCTCAGTCTAAGTCGTAGTCGACAGATTTCTTCTTCGATAGATTAGGGCTTTGAGTGAGTCGTATACTTAGATTGGGTTGTATTGTATTACATGAGTTGTAATCCTATGTGGTTGGACCCTCTCCCACACAGATCACAACCGTTAGATCAGATTCAAGAAGAAAAAAACAAAGCCCCTTTAGGCTCGCGCCTTACGCCTCGCTGGGCCTGGTCAAAGTCGCGTCCAAGGCGCGCAACTCTTCAAACACGCCTCGCCTGGGGTCCCCTTCAGGCGCAATGGGTGCGCCTCGTTGCGCCTAGGCGCGCTTTTCACAACACTAGTCGTAGCGGTGCCGTAACAGCCGTAACGGCCTATTACACAGCGTTACGTAACGGTTCCGAACTGCTTCTTTTAAAAAAATACAAAAAAAAAAGAAGCTGAAAATGGGGGAAGAGGGATAGAAAGAAGAGGGAAGAACAAGAGATAGAGAGAGAGAAGAGGAAAGATGAAGAACATGATATTGATTTGTTGAAACTGTAAGACCTATGTTATACTATTCAGCTGCTATATATAATATGATAGTGGTGTTGGTGGCATGTATATAATATGATAGTGGTAGATTGTGGTAATATATAATATGTAAGTGGCATATAATGGGTTATGATGATGTTTGTAATATCTCCTATATAAGGAGTGTCATTTGGTCTTGTAAGATAAGAAGTTTTGAATATAACAGAAATATATTCCTTCTTCCTCATATTTTCGGAGTTCTTCTTCCTCATATTTTCTAAGTTATTACATGAGTTGTAATCCTATGTGGTTGGACCCTCTCCCACACAGATCACAACCGTTAGATCAGATTCAAGAAGAAAAAAACAAAGCCCCTTCAGGCTCGCGCCTTACGCCTCGCTGGGCCTGGTCAAAGTCGCGTCCAAGGCGCGCGACTCTTCAAACACGCCTCGCCTGGGGTCCCCTTCAGGCGCAATGGGTGCGCCTCGTTGCGCCTTGCGCCTAGGCGCGCTTTTCACAACACTGGTCGTAACGGTGCCGTAACAGCCGTAACGGCCTATTACACAGCGTTACGTAACGGTTCCGAACTGCTTCTTTTAAAAAAATACAAAAAAAAAGAAGCTGAAAATGGGGGAAGAGGGATAGAAAGAAGAGGGAAGAACAAGAGATAGAGAGAGAGAAGAGGGAAGATGAAGAACATGATATTGATTTGTTGAAACTGTAAGACCTATGTTATACTATTCAGCTGCTATCACTCAACCATTTTGTTTGTGTGTGTCTATCTATATAATAATAATAATAATAATAATAATAATAGTAAGTGTGGTCATTATCTTGTTTATCTTAATAGTTAGTGATTGATTTTTTGTATTATATAAAGTCATTAATTATTAAAATAAAATGTAAAAAACTTAGTTTATAGTGATTTAAAAATATGAAATATATTGGATCATACTTAAAAATTTACAAAAATTGACCAATATTTATTTTAAACCCAATAAATATGATCATGGAAAAAAATATACGTATCGGTAAATTTTTTTCAAATTATGCAAAAAATAAAAAAAATTACGGTTCCGGTTACCGCAACCGTTACGCTACGGCCTTTACATCCCACAACCGCAACCGCGCCACCGCCACCGTTACGGCGACCACAACCGCTTTTCAAAACCTTGAGAGCAAGTGTCTAAATCTTTTATCTCATGACACATGCGTTATATATACAATGTAACAACTTGGCCTCGATGCAAATGAGCCTTGCATACATGCTATGTTACAACATCCAAGAGGCCAACTAATCACATACATACATTTGTTTGATTTCTCCTCCTACTGATCCCACAAAGGTTGCACACGCACACATTATAGTCATCTTTGAACATATAATGGTTTCACTTATTATTATTACCTCATTAATATCCAACTATTCTATGATTAATATTTTCATTCCTATTATGATTCAATTACTTTAATAAAAAACCCAATTGGTCACCTAAGGCAGTCGTATAAGTTGGATTAAAAAAAAAAGAAAAAAGAAAAGAAAAGAAAAGATACTGGTATAACTTGCAGCATAGGCGAAATTTGGAGCAGGTCACTCAAATGGTCCAGATCCTACAAGCACTTGCCTGAACACGCTTGAATGAGGGAGATCCTGTGAGCACCTTCTTTTACAGTTGTTCACAAGGTTGCTCAAGTAAAGTACAAAGTTGAATAGTTGCTAGAACAAACAGACATGAAAAAAGTACAGAAGGCGAGAATCAGTTGTCATTCTCTTCTCTGTTTTTTGCTTTAAGAATGCAATTCTATGAGAATATCTTTACAGCTTCACTAAGTTGACATGGTATGCTTTTAAAGTTTTAATGATAATCTTCCAGGATTTGTATGACCTGTTCTCTTACTTGTTTTGAAGTTCATATGCAGTATCCTGAGGGGCATGTTTCAAAGAGCATATATGCCACTTTCAGATTAGTCAACCCACCTCCAACTTCAGGTGGTTTATTGGCAGAATTTTTTCCCAATTTGTCCTTGGCTATTTGGACAACAACTCCCTGGACTATTCCAGCCAATGCTGGTAACTGTTATATGTTACTTTATTCTTTGATATTCATTATAAATTGATTTATTCAATTATTTCAGGGCTTTTCTATATTGTTTTCTAGTAATAATCACACTGCTGGTTGCTTCTATAACTAGATTTGTAGCAGAGATTGATATCATTCAATAGCAGGTTTCCTAGTTACATATTGCAATTTTTCTGTAATTGAGCTTTGTTCAAGTTTAGTCCCTTCTAGTTTTAACCTTGAAATTTGACAATATGAGAAATTGAATTACTACATAGCTTCTAGAACATTGAATTTTTCAGTTTGACTTTTAAATTTGACAGGTTGCGAAAAAGAATTACTACACGGCTTCTGAAGAAATGAAACTGGAACTATGAATGCAAACCAAAATGTTTATACTGAGGGTCTTCTAGTTTTAACTTTCAAATTTTTCATGGCAGGCCTAGAAAATATATAACTCGAATCCCGTTCTTTTGCTGTTGAAATCAATATTTATATACTTGATCTTTTAGGTGTGGTAGTTACGTGCATTTATTGCCAATTAATGTTTTCTTCAACTGATATCACATATTCACTATAACCGAGATTCTTTTTGAACTTTGAGTATCTTAACCCCTGCTGTTATTTTTCTGCTGTTTTTCTTTCTTTATTTATTTTTTGTTTTTTCTCTTTATTTGCTTTCACTGACAACATGTGTTCATCTCTCTCTCTCTCTCTCTCTCTCTCTCAGCTGTTGCAGTGAATCCTAAGCTTCAATATGCCGTTGTTGAGGTGCATCCACTCTTCGGAGATGATTCTGCATCTCCTGGGGATGGAAAGAAAAGGCTTGGCAATGTTTTGAAGGGCAAGGAAAAGCCCTTCCTTATCATAGCATCGGACCTTGTGTCAACATTAGAAGCAAAATGGAACACAAAGCTTGTTGTGAAGAAAACACTAATGGGTTCAGATCTTGAAAACTACAGGTTGTCTGGAAATAGAAATTTTGAACTGTATTATGTCCTTTAAGAGCTATGCCATGCAAATTTAGTTCCATCACTGGCCTTTGTTTATGTAATTTTTGTAATGTCGAAGTTCACATCATAAACCACAGATCTTTAGAATATTCAGTGTAGTGAATTAGTAGTATTATACTATCTAACATTTGGATTGCAAATGCGGCATCAGGTATATTCATCCAATAGAAGAATGCCCAGTTATCATTGGAGGAGACTACATTACAACAGAGTCTGGAACTGGACTAGTCCATACGGCTCCTGGTCATGGTCAGGAAGATTATGTAACTGGCTTGAAGTATGGTTTGCCCTTATTTTCCCCTGTAGATGATGATGGAAAGTTCACTGAAGAAGCTGGACAGTTTAGTGGGCTTGATGTACTTGGGGATGGTAATGTTGCTGTTATCAAATACTTGGATGAACATGCATCAATTATCATGGTAGAACCATACAGTAAGTCGTCTTCTCTCATTTTACTACAAAATTGAGGAAGCTGTCTATTGTCCTTTCTTGACTTTTTAAAGTAGGATCAGGTTGGTATGTTGGTTTGGAAGACATCATATATTTTCTTCTTGTGTAGAACACAAGTATCCATATGATTGGCGAACAAAGAAGCCTACAATTTTTAGGGCAACTGAACAATGGTTTGCGTCTGTGGAAGGATTCAGGAAGGCTGCCATGGATGCAATCAGCCAAGTAACATGGATTCCATCTCAGGTATCAGGTCCTCTATTGCATCAAATCATGCTACACTTTGTATGTAATGAAGTGTTGCTCTAATTGACATGCAAAAAAAGGGATGGCTTTGCCTCTCTTAGCTTGGTGAAGTCAAGAGTGGTGAACTGCTTGTTTGAGTTATTGTTTAGGACCTTTAAGCATGGTACAAATTTTAATAGGTATGGTAATGACATGGAGTGTATCTGCAAGTTTATCCTCTTTTGCTATCATTGACATTTCTACTACTGATATTGTCACAGTTGTTCTCATCGCCATTGTTGTAATTTTGCTATTTTTTATTTTTTATTTATTTAAAACAAGGAAAATGTTTAGTCTAGATCTAGCAAGGGCAAACCGTGTCAACATTTCAAAGGATACAATGTATCCCTTGGCATCTTAGAGAAATTCCTTCAAGCTAAATAGATGGCTGTCTTGATAATTAGGGGAGAAAAGGAGCTAATAGACCAGTTTCTTTGTTCTGAGAAAAAAAAAAAAGGCATTAGTATCCCTTTTACATCGTACTTATATGATTGACCACTAGAATTTCTCGCTGTTAATAGTCCTGGTTGTTGTGAAGAAGTTCTATAAGGAAAACTTCAACAAATGATTGAATGAGACCATATTCCCATAGCAATCTATATAGGGTTTGGGGCATCATGCCATGTTATGGGAAGTTCTTTGTGATTTTGAAAACTATACCTGTGTTGTTCCTATTGAAACAATTTCAGAACTAGGAGTAACTACTTTGTGCAACCGAATGTCACGGACTAGGCGCTTGTCATCCTCCTGAGAAGCCGGCTCCATGAGTGGTACTGCGTACCCCGTGCATTATGCCCAAAGACCAACTCAGGTGATGCGATAGGGATTTATCCTACCTGTCTTGCTGCTCACAAACTAATGCGCTTGCAAGGTGCTTGGTGTAGAACTCACATCTCCAATAAATTGGTATGTGACGTACTACCACCACTAATCCCTGATGTCCTCGTCAAGGGGACATTACCCTGCCTGCCTCCATGCTTGTCCATTCCCCTACCAATGGGAAACCCGCCCCGCGCGGACACCACCCTTGGTGCGGACCCCACTATAAAGGTGCTTGGTGTAAGTCCCACATACCGTCCCTATCACAGTGCCCCTAGGTTGGCTCTAATACCACTTGTCGTGGACTGGGCGTTTGTTATCCTCCCGAGAAGCCAACTCCATGAGTGGTACTGCATACCCCATGCATTATGCCTAAGGACCAACCCAGGTGATACGATAGGGATCTACCTTGCCTGTCTTGCCACTCACAAATTAATGCACTTGCAAGGTACTTGGTGTAGATCTTGTATCTCCAATGAGCCTTTATGTGACACTAAGCTATAAAATCATATTGAATTATGGTTATGGATGCTTCTGTTTATGGAGTAGATTTAGTAACAGTAACAATGAAAGCAGAGGAGAAGTGAAGATTGAGAACCAAAAACTGCCTAAGAGTGAACATTTTTGTTTTTTAGGGTCGATTATTATAACGGCAGGGGAGGTTATTGCAAATGTGACCCATAGGATTAAAGCGGGATGGCTGAAGTGGAGAAGTGCGTTTGGGGTACTGTGCGATAAACGAATACCCAATAGACTAAAAAGAAAGTTCTATAGAATGACTATTAGACCAGCGATGTTGTATGGGATGGAGTGTTGGGTAACTAAGAAACAACATGTAGATAAAATGAGTTGCTGAGATGAGGATGTTAAGGTGGATGTGTGGCAAGACTAGACAAGACAAAATTATGAATGAGTATATTCAGAAATGAATAGGAGTAGCACCTATAGAAGATAAGTTGAGAGAGAATAGATTGAGATGGTTTGGTTTGGTCATATTCAACGGAGACCAACAGAGGCAGTAGTGAAGAGATGCGATGCAGTGACGGTAGATGGAAGTGTTAGAGGATTGAGTATGCCTAGATTAACGTTGGCTAGCGTTGTAAATAGAGATATGGATCTACTTAATTTGACTAACGAAATGGCCTTTGATAGAGCTGCGTAGAGAAGAAGGATTCATATAACCGGCCCGATTGATGGGACTTAAGGCTTGGTTTGGTTTGGTTTATTGTTATTATTATTTTAACAATCTCTTAAGAGTACAGAAGAGATTTGAGTGTTGTTACAGGATCAGCTGTTAAGAGTGTTGTTACGGGATCAGTTGTTAGCTCTGGAATCCTATCAGTTTACTTCTTTGTGCATGTGCTTCTCATGTAGTTTTCCTTGTTTGACAAATGTTATACGGTCTGACTCTTTCCAAAATGCATATCCATTTTCAGGCAGAGAACAGAATTTCTGCAATGACTTCTAGCCGCTCTGATTGGTGTATTTCACGGCAAAGGACATGGGGTGTTCCCATTCCAGTCTTTTATCATGAGGAAACAAAGGAACCTCTCCTAAATGAAGAGACTATTAATCATATCAAGTGTAAGGACCTCCTAAAACGAGTCGTTGCTTTCTAGCTTGTTTGTTTGTTTGTTTGTTTGTTTTTTTTTTGGTTTTTTTGGTTTTTTTTTTTACATTATTACGTGTTAGGTTCATAATTATGGTATTAACTCAAGGATCATGGTGGCTGGTGCATGTCATGTAGACGTGTTTGGACTCTATTATCTACTTTATTTTCCTTCCATAATTATTTATTTATTTATTTTTTTCTAATTTTTACCCATTACCATCTTTGATATGCTATTGCAGTGCATTACTTTCCCTCCTTTCCTGATTTCTATCGCCTCAGAGTTTCTATGAAGCTATTAAAGATTTACATCTAAATATAGTTATCTTATGCTGCTGATTTTCTGTCTATTTTGGCAGCTATAATTTCCCAAAAAGGTAGCGATGCCTGGTGGTACATGAAAGTGGAGGAGTTACTTCCTGATGCATATCGTGATAAAGCATCAGAATATGAAAAAGGAACTGACACAATGGATGTTTGGTTTGACTCAGGTATCATAACTTAATGTTACACATAACTTTGTTTACTACTGAAAAAAAACATGGATTTTCTTCAGTATTTTTTAATTTTGACCACTGACATATTTTCTTACCTTATGGTATTATAAATATTCTTTGCAGTTTTATGATTTGTGGTCTGGCCCGTCTGGGTCTTATAAAAAGTTTTACTGGAAGTTACTTTATTTTTTTTCACTTGGATAAATAATTCCAGTAGCAAGTGAGCAACTGTTTCCTTCAGTATTTTGGCAACATCTTATTATTGTTATAACTCTACAATTGGAACCATCAAGATTCCTGTGATTCAAACCCCACGCCACAAAAAACAGAAAAAAATTGAAATTGGAACCATCAAGATTGGAAGATGAATCGATGGGATTCTTAGGAGATGCCTTTGATAAATTTTTTTGAACTATTTCATCTAGGATAATGTAAAGTAATAAGCACAAATTAAGCACATTAAAATGTTGCTGAATATAGAGAATGCTTTGCACAAAGCTTTCTCTGCAGCATCCCATCACATGTTAAAATTTTGAGTGGCTGATTTTTGTGTCTGTTTGTTTTTTGCTGGTTCAGTAAGGTTTTCTTTATTTATGTCTTTATGTTCAAAACACAATAAGGAAAAGGGGCTTTGTGGATGTTTGAGTGAAACCTCAGGGATGGCGTTTTACAAACCAGAGTGCTTGGAAGTAAGCTTTCTCAAAATAACTATTGGAATGTTTATTGTAGGCCATTCGACAGAAGTTACTTCTCAACATGTTTAGGAATATTATTATTTTGTTATTTTTCTATCTGCAGAATGCTGCACATAGTTTTTGCATAAAGTGCATGTTTTTCCAAATAATTTCTTGTATCTGAAAAAATTTCCACTCACGTCTTTCATTGCTTTATGACATATATATAGTCATTAAATTGCGAAGATGGTAATAATTTCATTTGTCTTTTGATGTTTCTTTCATTACTACAGTCCATAGTTCAATTTGATAAAATGCAAACATTGGTTAATTGCTCATGATCTATTTCAGGATCCTCTTGGGCCTCTGTTCTGGAGAAAAGAAGTGGGCTTAGTTTTCCTGCAGATTTGTATCTTGAAGGTACAGATCAGCATCGTGGGTGGTTCCAAAGTTCTTTACTAACAAGTATTGCTACCAAAGGTAATGACCGTCTGAATGTGCTCTTCATTTCCCTATTTATATTTGTTTGTGGTTCAACATTATATCATTCAGCTTTTATATTGTTTTTAGGAAACTTAAGAAACTTGAGTATTCTTTGTTAAAAGTTATTGGTGTAAATATTTAATGTGTATTCCTGCATCGATGATCTCTGTAAATCACAGTTCTCATCTTTACTTTCATTACACGGTAACTTACCTTGAAGAGATTAGCAAGTCACATTGTGTGTATATGTAAATATAGTTACCTAATAAGCTGGGTCAAATGATAATAAATATCTTTATTTCATAATAGGTGGGTAAACTGAGTAACATGTAATGATCATAAGTTTTGTTGGAAAAGACCACACAATCAAATGTAACCAAGTGGTATTAGATGTATTTACAGGGCAGTAGGGTAGAAAATCTACAAGCTAGTTTCACAAGAATAATGGTAAACCCGAGAAGAGAAATTAATACCATGTTAATGTAGATTGATACGAGGAAAAATGGAATTGAGTGAAGCAAACTACAAAAGAATTTAGATGAAGCAACTTATAGGGGCTATTGCTTTGTTTAATGGTTACATCCTCAACCATGAGAATATGTGTTCAAGTGTAAGAGCAGCCAGCAGAGGTTGGTTGTGTACAGTGTACATGGTCCATCCCTTACAGTGGCCCACATTGATTGGACAAAAAGTGATAATGCTTATTTATTTTTATCCCTCACATGACCCCACAATGGTGGGACCAACCGGTAATGCTTCTTCATTTAGAGAGGAAAAAAAAAAAAAAAAAAGGAAGGAAAAACTGACTGTTACAAATGAATCAAGCACTCATGGGTAAGTGACTTTGGAGAAGAGTTTTGAATGAAGGGGGGAAAAGGTGGCTTAAAGAAGTAAAGAGGCATTCTTTTTTTAGTTCTTTGCTATCTTTTCTGGTATGTGTGTGGCATGATACTATTAGAGCCCTTGGCCTTTTCAAAAGAAAGGCTTTTCTGGCAGGGACCAAAATAATCATTTATGAGGAATATCAACAGCTATGTAGATTTTGAAGGGAAAAGAAAAGATATTGGAATCTGATATTTTTTCTGTTGATCGTTGATTGGGTGTTTGAATTGGCCTCCTTTTTCTCCAAAAGTTTTACTCTCAGCAATTGGTTGAAATGATGTGGGATTTAATGGCTTGGAAGAGTTCTCAGCAAAAATATTTTTTAGCAACTTACAAATCTTGCAAATAAGAAAAATTGAGTGCTGTATTGCAGTTTGCTACTTTCCACTTGCAAAGATAAACTAGGGACGAGCTACATAAACTAGGGACGAGCTCCTATTAGTTTTAAGAAAGATAAGGACTTGTTTGCTATGGGCCATATCTTTCCTCTCCATAGTGGAAGCCTCTGAGTCTGGTTCTAAATCACAATCTACTAGCTGTGTTTAAACTACTTAGGCCACGTTTCTTTTATTTGATAAGATGCCACATGATTTTTTTGACATGTTCTATTACTATTTTGCAGGGAAGGCTCCATATTCCGGTGTGATAACGCATGGATTTGTGCTGGATGAGAGAGGTTTAAAGATGAGCAAATCTTTGGGTAATGTTGTAGATCCAAGTACTGTGATTGAAGGAAGAAAAAACCCGGTTAGTCACTAGCTGATAATATTTAAAACATATCTTCTCATTTGTTGAATGATCAATGTTGTTTCTATTTTGTCTTGACAGGAATCACCTTCCTATGGAGCTGATGTCCTCAGACTCTGGGTTTCAAGTGTAGATTATAGCGGAGATGTGATGATTGGATCTCAAGTCCTCCGTCAGATGTCCGACATATATAGGAAGCTGCGAGGAACATTGAGATTTCTTTTGGCAAATCTTCATGATTGGGAGGTATGTTTATGTTTTCTAAGAACCATAGCAATAGTTTTCAGGTCATCTTTTGGATGAAAAATAATTTAAAATATCATGGCTCTACATTTAAAATCTTATATAATTCAGTTTACAGATCTGATATGGATGAGAATATTGTTTTATATAGTTTTGATCTGCTGTAGCTTTTTCTTATTTTATAGTCTTTTATTTGCAGGCTGATTATGCTGTTCCTTGTAATGATCTTCCCATGATTGACCAGCATGCTCTATTTCAGCTTGAAAATGTTGTAAAGAACATCAAAGAGAGCTATGAAAATTATCAGTTTTTCAAAATATTTCAGGTTTGTATTTTCTTGTTCTGATTAGCTTTATATTGTGATCGTATATGAGGTTCACACTCGATCAAGTGGTGGTTAGATTTTGAAAGCAAGGTCTTGTGATCCTCAAGCCTTCTTTAGCGTAAGCCACCTATAGATTTTGCTTGTTTTCTGTTGTGTTATATTGATCTGACATCACATAGGGTGCTGCAACAACCATAACAGCCAGAATCTGATATAGCATCTATTTTCTGAAGTTCCTTGTTAACTTCTAGGAATGTTAGATGATTTTCTTTTTCTTTTTCATGTGGTCATTGCTAAGTACATTCTATTTCATTTCTTTTAAGATATAATTTAATTGGAAATTTGAAAACAGTTAACATGCTCTTTTGTATTCTTTTGATTTTTTTCCCCTCTTCAGATCATTCAACGGTTTGCGATTGTTGATCTGTCAAATTTCTACTTTGATGCTGCCAAAGATCGACTTTATGTTGGGTATGCTTCTTACTTTGGGTTCTTTTTTTCTTACTATCCATTATAAAGAACTAAATAGTTTCTACCCAATTATTATTCCATGTTATTTTATTGAGACTGGGGTTGTTTCAATGTTGAAGGTCAATAAATCTAGATTGTCTGTTTGTAATGTGGGTTTATTACATTCAGTGTTCTATGATTCTCAGTTATCAGTGACCAGTCTAGTACAGGACATTCTATCTGAAATTTATTGATTTCCTAATGGCCTCTGCATTAAAGCTAAAATCTTACTCTGCTGCTCTCGCATAATTGATTTATAAATGCTGTAGTCACATATTGTAAAGAAAAGTAATGACTTATATGTGTATATCGAGTTCTTGATCCAATACTTCTTGCTCCCATGATGTATGGAATTTTTTTTCCTCCCATTTTAACTCCTTGACCCAATACAGAAGAATGCCCACAAGTATTGTAGCAGAACTGTAGCGGCTGTACTGTTCATGCTGCGGTAAAAATAGGGACTCAATCCATGTATCTTTTAGTTAAGTATTATGTACGGTTGATATTAAATCTTTACAATGGCTATGATTTAAACTTACTAGGGTTAGTTATGACAGCTTTGTAATGGACTTCTGATGATGAATGAAATCTACTTTCTGTTTGTCTTCTTGATGAAAAATAATACTGATAGTAAGAACACCTTGAGTAGGAGATTGAGGGCAAGTTTTACAATAAGTTACACTATTTTCCAGGGGCTCAACAAGTTTTACAAGGAGAAGTTGTCAAACAGTTCTTGCAGCACATCTGCTTTCCATTGTGAGGGTAATTGCTCCAATTCTACCTCATTTGGCCGAGGATGTTTGGCAGCATCTCCCTTTTCAGTACACCACCGAAGACGGTTCTATTGCCCAATTTGTTTTCGAGTCTAGATGGCCAACGTTGAATGAAAAATGGCTTGCTTTCCCCAAGGAAGAAATTGATTTGTGGGAAAATATTCTCGAGGTATTCTCTCTTTTCCAAATAAAGATTGCAACATAAAACATTATTTTCTAATTTAAGTCACTTTGACTAGCTGCGGACTGAGGTGAACAAAGTCTTGGAGGTTGCTCGTACTGAGAAGCTGATTGGTTCCAGTTTAGAAGCAAAGGTCTATCTTCACACCTCGGATGACAGTCTGGCTACAAGATTAAATGAAATGTGTGGGGCCAAAAACGATGCAGACACATTGCCTCGCATACTCATGACGTCTCAGGTATGTTCTCAGGTCTACATCAAATTTAAATTGAGGTAAAAATCACTCAAAAATCACTCTGCTCCTTGACTCAAAACCTCTATCAAATTGAGTTTTACCAATTTTTTAACCCAAATCAAGGGAGACTCAAATGTTTACTTAAAATTTTCAGAACCATTTTGTAGATTGAAATTTTATGACTTCGCCATTATTAAAGTTTATTCCTCAAATTCATGCTTAAGTCTGAGTTTGTCCATTAGAATGTGTTTCATGTCAAATAAAGTTTCTCCTCAAATTTCATTTAAGATTTTGATTCAAGGGCTGAAGATGGATAAGTGAGATTTTGATTCAAGGGCTGAAGATGGATAAATAAAATTTTGAAGTGTCTCCCATATTTGTTTATATTTTAACATATATATTACAATATACCCTAAAAATGTACAAATGCTCTCATTGGTGTTTCCAACCTCACTATCTTCTATATGCCTCTACTCCCCAACCCATCTGCCGTTGCTCCTACTCCATGCTGCAGCAACTCCAGTTATTGCTAACGTGAGAATTCATTTAAATGGTGATCCACAGGTACAGATCCTGTCATCCTCGGAGAATGAACGGTTCGGGAACGTACCGTACAGCGGAGAATACCTCATTCAAGGAAAGAAGAGAGTTTGGGTAGGCGTGTCACGTGCAGAGGGCTCAAAATGTGAAAGATGCTGGAATTATTCTCATCAAGTTGGTTCCTTTGCCGAGCATCCCACCCTTTGCAGCCGCTGTTATAATGTTGTCCTCGCTATTCAACCCCAACTTCCAAATTTAGCCGCAGTAAGCTGAGACTTTGACAGTGAGTGAAGAATACACTGCCAAAAGCTGACTGCGAAGATGCTTTTCTCAAGTTCAAGTGATTGCTCCTCCGTTAGGCTCCATATCATACTTGAGAGCCACTTTTGATACCATTGAGTTCAAAGATTTTCGTTTCTGATTAGGGATTTATTTTCATCAAAAAAGAAAAACATACTTGGGTATATAGCAGATGGTGATGTATTTGAAAAAGATCGTGGTTATGAACGAGCCATCTTACAGAGATTTATTTAATCAAAAAATACAAATATATATATATACACTTCGAGTAAGTATATAGCAGAAGCTGATCTATTTGAAAAAGTTGATGATAATAGACTTGAGTGGTGGGGGGAGGGGTTGGCGGCAATAGTGGTGGTAGTAAGACGTTTAATCAGGCAAAAAAACATTTTCAACTAACATTTTTCACCCTTCAAAAGTAAAACATGTTTTTTTTTCCTTTCATTTTCTGTTATACCAAACACAAGAAATACCAAACACAAGAAAACAGACGGTGTTAGAAAATGTTAAAATCGTACCAAGCATGAGAAAAGACAGATAGCGTTAGTTCCGTATGTTCAGCTGCCCGTTTTTCAGACTTGCCGTGCAGTGGAATTTATCACACGGAAAGAACCCGAGTTAAAATTTTATCTGACATTTTACAGCACAAATCAAACAATTCAATCTAATCATGTAAAACAAGTTACATGTTTCATTCATTATGGTAATCATCCACAGCACATCTGGTTTTCACACCAAATTGTGAACATGTTAAAGCTGTGTTTGGATTTGTAGAGAAATCTGTTAAGTCACCTTTCTTTTCACAAATTCACAATCCAAACACGGAATATTTTTGCATGAAAAACAATTACACAAAAGGGTCCGACACTCTTTAACAGTGCAAGTAGAACTAGAACCTACTTAAAATTTTCTCAATTTTCTTTCACAAACCTGAGAATTTAGTAGTTAAATCAGGCCTGATTTACCAATATAACACAATTTGCACCGAGCCAAATTGATTATTTAACAGATCAAACTTTGAAATTCTACAGGATCATGGCACAGCCATTTCAAACGATAAATAGTTCAATCAAATTTTGATCTAATTTACAGATCAATGGTGGTGGGGGAAGAAAAGGGTGATTGAACTAGGGGTGTTGATGCAAATCCCCTTGGTCTTTGGTAGTAAAGCATTAAAGACTCTGGAAACTTCATCGCACACCACCACAACTGGCACGCTTTTTTCCCCCCTTCCAGCAACTCAATGGAGGTCAGCATCCGAATTTTGAGATGGATGCAGCATGAACTCAGATCCATCTTCATCTTGAGATTGTATTTGTATATCCTGCCAATAAGTAAACCAAGTCCAATGATGCTTAGAAAACAGAGTATAGCATGGTATTGTTTCTTTGTTTCAAAACAAAACGACCATCATTACAATACTACTGACACAATTATACTAAACCCTAAACCTGTGCAAAACGTTTGATCCAAGGTGGCTTCACAGCCATTGATCTGGGAATTTGTACTAGTCCCCCCAAGAAAATTGGCCAATTAAATGCCATCTGTTTTGCACGGGCTCATAAACGCATTACAAGTTGGGTATTCTATTCATTAGTACTCTCTAACCTTTAAAATGGCGATGTAATGAAATTGTCTTCAAAACAGAGCACCTCCGACACAAAGAATTTACATTATTGGAAACATTAAAGTAAATCACAAGGAGAAGGATGATTCAATACCTGTGTATTTATTAGATGATGTGTTGTTGGCTGATCTTGGGCCATTGAATAGGCTTGTGGTTGAGACATTCGGTAATAGGGCTCTTTAAGATCAAATTTGCAGGACGATGTCTGAAGTATTCCTCCTTGTTCAGCACCCGGGCCCCACATTTTAGCTATTCAAGTTCATTTAGGACTCTAATTAGATCATTAACGAAATGTAGTAACAAATAAACACAACTGAACAACAAGGGAACCAATATGAACACCAACCTGACAGTGTTAGATAAATAGTATAACTCTGAGCATTGTGTGCAACCATGCGGAGTCGGCCAGTAATTTCTTGTCCTGGCATGACATAAAGTGGCTGCAAGAGAACACAACGAAGCTGATACCAATGGGTCGTAGGTGCACCGGGAGCTGTGGAAAGCCACCTTTGTACAGTGCTACAGAAGTATGAAGAATGCAGTGTCAGGTCAAATAAAAAGGCAAACATTATTCATCTTTTTTTTTTTATCCAGTTTTTTAAAAGTTGTTTCTGATTTTTTTTTTTTTTGTCTCTAATTAACTTTTTTTTTCATGTTTTAATCAAATTTTTTACTTTCCAGATGTATCTAAAAAGTAAATCATTTGTGAAGAAATCTGAAGACGAAAATGTGCTAGTTTTTTTTTTGTTTTTTTTTATTGATTTTTTTTTAATATAGATTTATTCACAAATATTTTACTTTTTAGGTGCATCTAAAAAGTTGAAGAAATTGATTAAATTATGAAAGTAATCACTAAATAGAAAAAATATAAAAAACAAATTTGAAAACTGAACCAAAACAAGGTTATTTTTTATCCAAGAAAAAGAGAAAATTATTGATCATCATTAAATGATTACCTCCCATTAAACAGTACATCGAACCAGCATGCCAACCCATGAATTCTAGCACCCACAGAGGCTGTGAATTTCAATGGGACATCAATTTCATATAACTCTTCTTCCTGCAGAACAAAAGTAAAGAAGAGTTTTGCAGATTAATTGACAAGCACCAAAGGCATCAGACTTCATTTTATTCTTATGCTGGTATGGATAGTTTCATAATCAAATAAGAACAAACTGAATTGAACAATAATAATATAGGAACAACATATTACATTGCCCAAACAATCCCAAAAATCTTCCAAGAAAGAGACTATAAGTGGGTATTATCACATCTCTAACATTCTGATACCCTAAACACTTTTTGTTATACATAATTTCAGCAGTTCCATAGTTACAGACAAACCATAATTCCATCGAAAAAAACCCAAGGGACTGCAGGCATTTTATTTGACTGCACCAAGTTAATCCATTATTAGGCCGCTAAAATTACTATCAAGAGAAGATTATTTTTGCTGGTCGTGATATTATGATATACCAATTCACCATGACAGTGTCAACTACTAATAGCATCAAAAACCTGTTTGGGATTCCTGTAGTAACAGTCCTAGCAGACAGATTATTTTCAGCTGACAATCACAGAAAATAATGGACCCCAACCACTATCATAATCAATGGAGAATCATCAATGTTTTCAAGTCATGTTCTGCCAGGTTGGAACTTGAGTCTCCACAAGCATCAAATTCTGAGTGGGGCTTCCTTTCGTTATATATGCACTAATCAATATCAATCAATATCAATTCGGATAATGAACTGGAATGCATTTTTGGTGGGTCTATGAAATAACATTTCACATGCTAATAGAGAAAATAGTACTGTGGTAGGTAAGAGGATTCTAATCTGATAGTTAACTAATACCTTTATAGAAGTGAAGTTTATCACATGAGATATTGCAGGAGCCACCAACACCCTAGGATCAAAAGCATCCACCACAGGCTGTACAGAAAGTAAACGAAAATTGTTAAGCATGTGGAAAAAGAAAGATCGTTGAATAGAGTTCACCATGATAATAACAGGAAAACAACACAGTGGCACTCCATAAGATAATGGTAAACTAGAGTGCAGACATGCATGTACACACATCGTGCTTGAAATTTTCAAGAACCTTTCAACAGATCTAGAATTCAGTGTTGAAATTGACTGCATTTAACTTATAAATGGAAGCTGCTCTCAGCTTTTTCGTCTTTGTTATTTACAATTTCAGATTTACCACGATCCAACAATGTGATTGCTCACATTTTCACCTTAAACTAGAATCCCTAAAATAATTCTCCTAATTCTTTCTTTCCACATAGATCATATCATAGAAAAGGGGGGAGAACCCTTCTAATGGAGGACAAATCACAGATTCTTCCAATCTAAGATTTCAGATCCTATGGTTTACGACTTACAAATCAATGGACAAACTCTCCACTCCTTAATGAAAAAAGCACCCATATGAATCGAATCAAAATTCATAAGCTTGGTAGTAATGACTAAATCATACATGAAAAGTTCTAAGAAAATATAATCATATCAAAACTCATAAGCTTGGTAGTAATGATTAAATCATACATGAAAAGGTCTAAGAAAATATAATCATTCTTTAAATGATCAATACCTACAAACATCCTGAGAGGGTGATTTGTGATCTGGAGTTGGGCCGAGGTAACGGCCGAGCAAGTTGAGGGCCCAACGATGCGTGGGTCCGAGATGATCGACTTTCTGCCCAGAGTTGGGTTGCCAGAACTTGGGCCGGGCAGAGTTCGGGCTGAGTGTGTGCCACCCCGGACCGGACAGAAACTGCTCGGTAAGGCAGTGCTCGGTCGGACCAGGATGCACGGTCTGAGGATGGCCAAAGCCAGATAGGCCGAGTGACCGACGCCCGGGAAGGCGTGGACAGCCGAGGAAGTTGACTGACCGGCAGAAAGGCCGACCAATACCTACAAACATCCTGAGAGGGTGATTTGTGATCTGGAGTTGGGCCGAGGTAACGGCCGAGCAAGTTGAGGGCCCAACGATGCGTGGGTCCGAGATGATCGACTTTCTGCCTGAAAAAAGCACCCATATGAATCGAATCAAAATTCATAAGCTTGGTAGTAATGACTAAATCATACATGAAAAGTTCTAAGAAAATATAATCATATCAAAACTCATAAGCTTGGTAGTAATGATTAAATCATACATGAAAAGGTCTAAGAAAATATAATCATTCTTTAAATGATCAATACCTACAAACATCCCAAACTTAATTAACCCAAAATATCCATCCAGTGCTTTTAAAATGGGCATTGTTCTTCTCAGTGATTTTGTATAATAGGTACATTTTGCTTAACAAAGAGAACTTCTAGCATCAGCTTTTATTCATGAAGACACCATCTTTCTTTAGTATAAAATCTTTTGCATTGGAATTATAAACTCCACCTCAATAAACCAAGCTCCACACATCAAGAAATAAATTATGAAAGGAAAAAATTAAGAGGAATAGTCAAAAGCAAATCATTGTTTCCCGAGTTCAACAAATTAAGATGCACTCTATTGCACTCGTAGACATTTAAAGCCAAAGCAAGCATACTAAGAACATCATGCTGACTTAAAATTTCAAACATATTCGTGGCATATGGAAGTAAGACAAACCTGAGAAAAGTATCCTTGGAATGCAGATCCATATAAGGGTGTTAGATCAACCCCATAATAATTTTGTTGTTGCCAAAAGAGGGACTGCATAGACAAGTAAAAGAAGGTAAGACTATTTTCATTGTCAAAAACAAAAAACCTAAAAAACTGAGTAAAATAAGCACAATACAAAGGAAACTGTTGCATTTAAGAAAAGAACAAGTGGCCAAACAAAATAACTGGTTCTAAACAGAACACAATTTATTTACTTGTGAAGCATACAAAGTAAAATAACAAAGAGCAAACCGGTGCTTTTATACAATGTTCACCTTCTTACCCAAAAATTCAAATAATTCAATGACCTCAAGTTGTTCTCAGTTCCCTTGCTGCTTGTTTTATGTACTACAGTAATAGAAACACAAGTTCACAATTTTTTGATCCATTATGTTGTCCCAATAAAATGTAATGTCCACTACAATTTGCATACAAATGGAGTAAGGCTAATTCAAGCACTCTTTAATAGGATAGATTTAAAAACATAAGCTTGCATTTAAAAGCTGATATTGGTTCTTTATATGACAAAAAAAATTAGGGAAAAAAATTGTCAACTACTGAGGCACAAATAAATTTCTCAAGTCATTCCAAAACTTGATTTTATGTGCAGAATAAATAATAGTGATAAGACCATACAAATGCTTCAATGCACCAAATTCAATTTACATACCTTATTTGCAATTTCAACATACAAATATTCATCACTGAATGGTGCCATATGTATTCTGCAGGAGCAATCAACTTTACAACATAAGGAACAACAAAAAAATGACAAATAACATAGCACATATTTATCATGGAAACAATTATGGTAAGAAACACTAGAAAACAAAAATATGTAGAAACTCACAGGGAGCCTTATTACAATGTAAACTGAATCACACATACATCCAAGTAACCTCCAAAAATAGAAAACTGACAGATACAAGTGTCCATCCAAATGAAAGAGATGAACCACAGTAATGAATATTGAAGCTATTTGAGAGAAAAAATAATTTACAGCCTACTTTAAGAGCAATGATATTCCCACTCTCCTTTTAAACTTTTCACTCTATTTTTTATCTTTTAGCCTTTCACAAGTGGAGTGTGAATATCATTGCTCTACCTCAATTACTGGAAAAAAAAAATCTACACTCAAGAGACAAATAACAAACTAATCTTTTGTTGAGGGGGGGGGGGGGGAAATTACGCCATCCATCCCAAAATAATAGTCCATTTATGGAGAATCCAACTTTTTAAGAAATCATTATTATTGCAATAATATATTTTCAAATTTCCAAATTTACCCCTAATAATTGCTCTACTCATGGTGGCAGGAAATCAATTTTGAAATTCAAAACTATCAATGTGTAGTTTTTTATTTGACCCATTGTAATTTTATTTTTTTAATTATTATTTTAATTCAAAAAAGAAAGGGCAAAATGGGAAAATCAAAGAACTTTATTCATTGACTTTTCAAAATGGACATTCATTTTGGTACGTTCAAAAATAGAAAAGTGGACCAACAAAATGGGACAGAGGGAGTATAATTTACAAATCATTTCCGCAATTCTACTTGTAGAGTAAATCTAAATATGAGATTACATAACAACAATCACAGAGAATCCAAATGATACAGATAAGATTGTCAAAAAGAGCTAATGACATGATTCTGTTAATGTAAGCAGAAGAGTCAGTGCAAGCTTACACTATGAAATCAAACAGGTAACTGAAAAGACTTCTAAAAGAATCCAGTAGTGTGTAACACAGGAAGAACGATGGAAGATTGTTTCATTGTATTGTGTAGGTAAAGCATAATAGAAAATAAGACACAAAACAAAACCACCTTCCATTTGTAGGAAACATCTTTCCATTAGGAACGAGGAACCGATCCCTTGCAATTACATAAGTCTCCAGCATTCTTTCATTGACTAACAACGTACCTACAAGAAGAAAAAAGGTCTTAAGTAAGACTATCACTAACAATTGTACAAATTGTTTCTTTATACTGGAGGATGTTAAGAAGGCAGAGAATGGAACTTGTGAAGAGAGAAATTGGAAGGGAACACAAAATGAACAAATTCTTATCACATTTTGAATCGCAACAAGCAATGAGAAAATTTGCAGAAAATGCATGTTCAATGACAATTAAACAAAAACGACCATTTGCTCAATTTCATAAGTGACCATGGAAGCAATAAAGACAATGCACATGCAAAACTACACACAAATTGCACTTCAAACATTGTATATCTAACAATTATGAATACTGTCAAGAATATAGCTGTCCAAAATAAATATACCTCAAACATAAATATCAAAAAATAAATAACTAAATGCACCTCCAACCAGCAATACTAACCAAGAGAACCACTTTCATTTCAATCCACCATCTAACAGTTTGCAATGAGTCCATTTAAATTTGGCGGTTAATAGAGCAGAAAATATCAATGTCTCGGCCCCTACCCCAGCAATGACTTTATACAAATCCTCTGATTTATAATTAAATCTAAAGCGAAAAAATATGAATCCAGAAGACTAAATCTCTTTTCGGGAGAATACCATGAAGCAAGTGTACAACACACAATAGCTACTTCAATTTCACATTGTAAGCATTTGTATGGATATTTTGCACATATTTTTCCATTTCTTATACTTGCATTATTGTGATACCATCTTACCACACGAATGGGCAGATTGCCATTCTAAAATACCATAATGTGCCAATGTTTGGGTTTTAATTTGCACTTAGATATCTTTCCAAATTTCACTTATTTGAACTTGTGTCCAAGCATATACTACAACATCATGCTAATCCTATAATTTTACAAAAAATACCAGGACAGGGTTACAAAAAATTCTTACTTCGTAACATTATACTGATGGTAGCTAATTTTAAATAACCACAAAACAAGCATGTCTTATTGTCTATACATGCTTAACAAACTAATATCACAAGAAATAACATAATCAACTAGAATGACCAAAGCACATATGACATGATAAGCTTACCCATTGGCTCAGAGATCAGAATATCTGCCTTCTCTGGCAATTCAACGTCTTCAACTTTACCCTTGATTACCTATAATTTAGAAAAAACATGCCCAAAAAAAGAATGAGAAACAGTACACTGAATACCATAGCATTTAAACTGAATTTTAAGAGAACAAACAATCTCACAGTAATTCTTTGACCAAGAAATGGGTTCCCAGCAATAAGTTTGCGGGCATATTCTGCCATTTCAGATGCCTCCACCGCATAAACATGTTTGGCACCGGCCTGGTATAAGAAAAAGGGAGAGATATAAAGAAAAAGGGAACTAGAGTTAGGGTACTATCCTACAGGACCAACAACACAGATGCATCTACTTTGCCAGTATATTTCCATGCACAACCATAGAAAAAGCTAAGACAACCTGAGCAGCAAATAATGACAGAATACCGCTACCAGCACCAACATCCACAACCACACGACCAACAAAGTCTGCACGATTCTCAATGACTGCAGCATAATAAGTTCCTGAAACAAGCATGATTATCATGTCACTCACGCATGCACCTAATAACTTATAAACGCTCAATATAGACACATTTCTTTACAATTCCGAGAACAAGCAAAATGCTAGTCAATATACAAAGCATTCTACAACACAATGGTACATATGCCTCTTTTTTAATCGTGCACCCAGAAAGTGAACACCTAAAACAAGATCAGAAATCAGCAACAAATTAAAGCTTGGTGACATAACCTGTCCTCACATAATCCTGTAGCATATTTTGCTGATGTAGCAACTGTCCATAGTAATGAAAATACATTTTGGCAGAAGATGCCTCTATCTTGTCATCAAACTTGCTTTTAGAAGCTGATAATGTTCCATTTTGTAAACATGATCCTGGAAGGAAAAACAAGAAACAATTAAGCCCCTTCAAACCATAATTTGCAACTGCTTTTGATGGCTCTGTCCCCCAATCAAGTGTGCTTTCACACTAGCAAGGAACCCCAGGATTGCACAGAATGAAAACAATTACTTTTTAATTAATAGTTTTATAGAAATAATTAGTCCTTTTATATGTTTGAACTTCACAATCATGAAACAAGTTATGTGTAACAATATTCTATATACTTCTAAACTAAAAAACAGAAAGTTAAATTTTAAATATTATAGTTACAAAATAGAACACTAAAATTTAATATGAACATTCTAGAGTGATCATCTTATCCTTAAAATCTTGTCATCGGGATGTTTTAAAAGTGCACATTGCATGCTTGATTTGTGGTTCCCATAAATGTAATACCAAAATATTCTTAAACTAGGAAATATTGGATGCCTTCAGCTATCTTGAGGAACGTCTGACATGTGTGGGCCAAGTGTCCAAAGCAATACAATTTACATGTCACCAAGATACCAGACCAAACACATGTCCTAGGAGCAGTGTTATAAAAGGCTCTAGGAGCACTGAGGCGATAAAGTCTCCTATAGCCTAAGCACGAGGCACGAGGCACGAGGCCAGGGGCGCACCTTACCAAAGTGAAGTACAAGTAGTAGAAGAAAAGCAAAATTATAAAATAGGCGAACTTTTCAACATAACAAATATATATAAAATTTCAAAAATCATAACCATTTCAAAATAATCTTTAAACATAACATTCAATCTTCTAAAAACTATAAATATAATATCCAACAAAAGATATAAAGCATAACATTCAATCTTTTATCACTTTTTGCTCTCTTTTGACCACGTTTGGTCATTTTATATTGAATAGTTTTGAGTCCCTATGGGTATGCCCACAAAAAAAGCACTTAATCAACAATTTAGTAGAAAAATAGGTAAAGCCTGTAAAGCCCACGCCTCACGCCTCGAAAAAGAGCCCTCACCTCAGTGCCTAAGCTGCGCCTTGCGTATTGTGCCTTGCCTCGACCTGTTCGAAGAGTAAAGCTACACCTAAGCGCGCCTTTTAAAACACTGCCTAAGAGTATCCATGTAAATATTAAATGCATGTCAAATACAAGTACAAGACCAAACCAAACCAAATCAAACCAAGCCAAGCCTTAAGTCCCATCAAGTGGGATCGGCTACATGAATCATTCTTCTCTACAAGGCTCTATCAAAGGCCATTTCGTTAGTCAAATTAAGTAGATTCATATCTCTATTAACTACGCTAGTTAACGTCAATCTAGGACTATCCCGTCTCCTAGTATTTCCATCTACCGTCACTACATCGCATCTCTTCACTACTACCTCTGTTGGTCTCCGTTGAATATAACCAAACCATTTCAATTTATTCTCCTTCAACTTATCTTCTATCGATGCTACTCCTACCCATTCCTGAATACAGTGTTGTGAAAGGTGCACTTAGGCGCAGTGAGGTGCAGGCTCTGCGACTGAAGGGACCCAAGGCAAGGCGAGGCGAGGCGAGGCGAGGCGAGGCAAGGCAAGGTAGATAAGTCGAGCGCCTTTGCCAAGCCTTGGGTCAGGCGCAAACAGGCACAAGGTGACGCTTAAGCGTGCCTTTTGTATTTATTTTTTTTTAGGTTATGATCGGATCTGATGGCTTTGATCTGAGTTTGAATGGGGCCAACCACATACGATTGCAACTCATACTACTCAATACCCAACAGTTGAGAGTCGCAGCCCTAATCTCTATCGAAGAAAGGTGTCGTCTCTTCTTCACGCAGTCTGCAGCTCATCGCGACTTCATCTTTGCGTAGGTGAGTCTTCTTCTTCTGCTTCTGTTTCTTCTTCTTCGTCTTCAGGTGTTATCGTCTCGTCTCTTTGTTTTTCTTTTTTCTTTTTCTTTGTTTTGCTGATTACCCATCGCTGCTGCTGCTGGTTCTTTCTTCTTCTTTTTTCCTTCTCCTTCTCTTCTTCTTTCTTGTGCTGTCATCTTGTCTCTCTGCTTTTATTTTTTTTTTGCCTACTTCTTCATCACTAGTTTTTTTTTTTTTTTGCTGGTGCTGCTGTTTTTTTTTTTTCCCCTCTTTTTTTTTCCCCTGCTGCCGTGTTGGTTTGTTTTTTTTTCCATGTCTCTATTAGGAAAAAAATTACAAATAATTAATTAATCACACATTACATTACACTGAAATTATTTTTCATTTATTAAATTTGTTGTGTAGAAAATGACAACTAAAAGTAATAGAAAAGATCCGGCGTGGCAACATGCCCATTTAGTAGAGCCCAATAATTTGTCTTGATTACTTTTTATTTTTAAAAAAATTGTCTTAGTACTATGAATGATTAGTCTATGTTAATTTATCTATTTTTTACTAAGACTGCGCGTCTTACTTCAATAAAGCCCACGCCTCGCTTTGCGCCTAGGCCCCAAGAGACCTTCAACGCCTTGGTGCGCCTTGAGCCTTTAAAAACACCACCCAAATATACTCATTCCTAATTCTGTCTTTTTTAGTCTTGCCATACATCCACCTTAGCATCTTCATTTTCGCAACACTCATCTTATTTACATGTTATTTCTTGATTGTCCAACACCTGTCCCACACAACATCGTTAGTCTAATAGCCGTTCTATAGAACTTTTCTTTTAGTTTAATGGATGCTCGTTTAGCGCACAATAACCCAAATGTACTTCGCCGCTTAAGCCACCTCGCCTTAATTCTATGGGCCACATCCCCATCAATCTCCCTCACTGTTGTGATAATCGACTCTAAATAACGAAAATGTTTGCTCTTAAGTAGTTCTTAGTTCTCAATCTTCACTTTTCCTCTACTTTCATTGTTACTGTTACTAAAAAAATGCTCGGGCCTCTTAGGGCACAAGTATTTAAAATGAGTTGGCACGTATTATTTCAAATAGCAGCTTCACCTCACTTAAGGTTCCATGTGAGATGCAATCATTCTTCGTACACACTAAAAGCAAATTAGTAAAAACATTTAATGACCAAATAATACATTATTGTGAAACATAACATAGTAGAATATGTAAGATAAAAAAAGAAAAAGAAAAAAGGAGTTGCAACAACTTACGACAAGAGGATTGATCTAAAATACAACTAGATGTTCCATTTAATTTGTCTAACAAAAACTATAGCAGATATCAAAAGAGCACCTTGAACAAGTTCTTCCTTCTTCCATTGCTCAAATGCGCAATGGAAGGCTGTACTTTCCTCCACCTTTCTAAATTTAATGGTGACTCCCCTTGAATAGGATTTCTGGTCCAAAAGTAGAAAGGTTAACAAATATAAGCATTTAGGTTGTCATTAGATCATGGATTTGGATAGGGATTTAGAAATGAAAAAAAAAAAACATATATTTCATTCACATTTGCCTTACCTTTTCCCTTTCAATTTTCAAATTACTACCCAAATCCATGATCCAAACACCTCTTAACAATGTGATACCATAATGCATCATAAATGTAAACATTGAAATGTTTTCACAAGAATGATATGTATCATCATATCAAGTGGTAAAAATTTGTCGATGTACACGTGGATTCTGGTGAACTACATTTACGAGCAAGTTAACTAAAGTAAGTAAGTTAAAAAAAAACCTTTTGCTGCCAAATAATGAGCCCAACCCATGTATATAGGACAAAAAAATGTATATAATGTACAGACAAAATTTTAAATTTCATACCTCTTCACTGGTTTCGGAACCTTCTGATATGCATACCGATACAACAGGGCTCAACTTGAAAAGCTGAAAAGACACAGTAATTTTATGAACAATTACAGCAATTTCTAAAGTAAATATAAATAGATATGCAAATGACATTTATAATCTGTTTGGTTGCTGAGAAAGTGCAGGAAAACTAAAAGAAACTAAAATTCAAAAAACTTTTCAAATTTTCCACAAACACTACTTCGGTTAGTGAATCTAAAACGACAGACATTAAGCTCGAAGATTTTTCCTTTTTCTTTTTTCTTTTCTCGGCAACCAAACACAGACCAAAGCTGAATTCCCCGAGGAGAAATGTTAACCTGAGCAGCTCTAAGATCGATGTGAATAGCCTCATTCGATTCCGATTCTCGGTAAAATTGAAGTTCCGCAGCCTCAGAATCGAAGCTGAATCGAGCAACAACTGGCGAGGCAGAATCCACTGAAGAAGAAGACGAAGAGAGCGGAGAGACAGAGGCTATAGCGAACTTAAGCTGTTTGTGCTTTTGCTCCACTGCATCCTCCATTGCTACGTTCTTCAAGCTCAGACCTGAAACTGCTATATGCATATATATATATATAGGTATGTATAGATAGAGAGGTGGAGTGAGGAGAGAGAGTAAATTAGGGTTTCTGTAGAGAGAGAAGAAAAGCGGCGAGTTTTGGAGAGTTTATAGCCGCCGATTGAATGTAGGTGTGAAAAAGACAATCGCTTCGCTTCGCTTTGCTTTGCTTTCGTCTTCTGTTTTTGGGGCAATTCGTAGGTGTACAAGGGGATTTATTTATCTTATAAAATTATAGTATAATTTTTTATAAATATTTATAAATTAATTTATAAAAAATTGAAAAATTATAATTTATATATATTTATGAAAATTTATGTAATTTTATGAGATAATTTATGCATAGAAATGGCCATTTTAGTGTGATCTGCAGGAACCTACCCACACTAAGTGGGGTAAATTTTATTCGACCCGACATTTATGTGAGGCAAAGATTGATTATATTTTAGTTATCCACAATGCGGATGGGCAGGGGCGAATATCATCTCTCTCAATCTAAACTCAGCCCGATATAATTAATAATATATATATATAATATAATTAAATATAAAAAACGAATATGTTTTGTTTAAATATAATAAATAATAATCCTAAAAATTTCATTGTTTATATATATAGAAACAAGAGAAATTATTTAATGTGTTAAAAATTTTAATGGTTTTCATTTTTTTTTAGCTATTTAAAATATGGCCAGGTATCTGTTGGAGGGGATGGAGTTTAAAATTTTCACCCATAGCGAGATTAGGGCAAGGTCGGAGTGGGGTTTAAAAGCGGAGGCGAGAATGACAAACCCGTCCCCATGACTATCCCTACTTATATATATATATATATATTTGTAAAAACTTATGTTATACATCTTGTACGCTCAAACATTTCCTCTTTTTTATTGTATGTCTTTTTTAGGGAAACTTATAATTATAAAAAGAAAATGACATAAATTTATACTTTTTGTGTTATAATTAAAAAGCAAATCATAATCAAATATTATTTGAAGCATAATTAAATATATCGAAATAATGCCATAATTATATAAGAAAATTAATCATAATTAAAAATGTATATGATAAAGAATGTGTATGATAGAATTCTTTCATTTTTTTTTATATAGGACCTTGCTACATCCCCCTAATTTTTGGCCCCCTAATCCCCTAAATTTCAAACCAAGGCAAACCAGGAAAAAAAAAAAAAAAAAAATTGCCCAAAACGACGTCGTTTTAGGCATTAAGGGGATTAGGGGGGGTTTTTTAGGGGGACATTAGGGGGATTAGATGTAAATGTATGTATGTATATTGTATTGTGAATCTAATGGGTGGTTTAGAATGACCACTCTCTTTCTCTAGTTCGTCTTCAATATATATATGTATGTATGTATATTGTATTGTGAATCTAATTGGTGGTTTGGAATTATCTAAATAAGTGTACTTTTTGACTTTTTATGAAATATGGGTTGGGTATGGGTTAGGTTTGAAGTGATGTGATAGATAAGTGATATGATGTGATTTAAGTAAGATGATGTGACTTAAATAGGATAGTGACTTTTTTACTTTTTAAAGTTATGACAAACAAGGCCTAAATGTCGTCTTTGATTCTTTGCATAGTTGTTCTCTCCTAACATCTCAAATTTCAATCTCTCTCATTCTCTGCTTCTCTCATCTACACAACATGCCCTTGTTCGCATGTTGATTTGTTATTAGAATGTTGATTTCTAAAGAAATCGAGAATTTAGGGTTCGAGATTTGAAATTGTTTCCATTAATGGTGTATTTGAGCAAGTTTTCTATAATTATTGTAGATTCAAGATCCTCTGCCACCTATGGTGGTTGATTGTTGCGAAGTGATCTCCAATGGCAAAAGTGAAGAGAAGAAGTTGGAAAGGGAGATTGTGCTTAGGAACTTCTGGTCTTCCAAATCTGGTCTTACAGCTTTTGTTTGGTGTTCAATCACACTATTTGTATAGATAAAAGGCTGTGATTTGTTCAAAAATTTGATCTTTTTATTTTTTATCTTCTTAAGTTCTTTTTTTTTAATTATTATTATTATGTAAGTTTAGATCATTTTTTGTTGTTGTTGATGATGATGATGAAACATATTGCAACAGATACTTTTTTTCTTTTTCTTTTTTTCTTTTTTTCTTGTGTTGATGTTGATGATGATGAAATGAGATAGATTGTACTAGATATGGAGAACATGAATATGAGCTGTAGATGTCGCATTGTTGGTTCCAATTGGTTTTTTATTTATTTATTACTATTTGTTAATAGATCTTAAAGTAAAATTTGACTATGATTCATTCATTTAGGATGTATTTTATTTTTTATAACAGTAAAATTTTACTCTTGTTAAGAACATGTTGATTTGCTTAACAATATAAAATTTTACTTTACATCATAGTAAATTTTACTCTAATTCAGAGTAAAATTTTACTTGAAAGTATAATTTTACTCTGAATCAGCGTAAACTTTACAATAATTCAAAGTAAAGTTTTATTATGAAATTTTACTCTGGTTAAAAGTGTGTTGATTTGCTTAACGATATAAAATTTTACTTTGAATCATAGTAAATTTTACTTTGAAATACACTGTGAGGATGGCTTTATAGGAGAGCTGATAGATATGATGGTAATATAGTAAAAGAAACAAATTTTAAAATATTATGGAGTTTTGAAAATACCTATATAATTATTGTCATTTTGAAAGATAAATTAAATAGTGAGTGATCTATCAACAAATCCCTCTTAAAACAATGCATAGAAGACATTTGTTAACATTTGCCTGGGATGTAAATTTGGGCCGGTCCACCCGGCTCGTCGGGCCTCACGGGCTCTTGCCAAAATTCGAGCCGAGCCAAAAATAGGCCCAAGCCTAGGGGTATTCGGGCCTTGGGCTCAAGCTTAGATGGGCTTGAACATTTAAAAAAAAAAAAAAAAAAAATACCAAAATTTTATTATTTTCTACTAAAAAAGCCATTGCACCTCAGGCGGTTTGGGTCTTGGGTTGAGCCTTGAGTGGGTCTTAAGCAGTCCAATGGGTAGGGTCGGGTTTCAAAATGATGATCGAGGCCCTAGGGCTGAGTAAGGAATCCATGAAATCCGTAATCCGATCCAGTTCAGTCTAATCCGATAGGTTTGGATTGGTTTTTTGAATCCGTGGTTCAGTTCCGGATTGAAGAATTAAAAATCCGTAGTCCACGGATTGATTCCGAATTAAACCCCACGGTTCCGGATTGGAACCGATCCGAACCATATACAAATAGTTTATGTTTTTACTATACATCCTCCTCCATAGTATCTTCTCTTATTCCATATAAAACATAAACTCAAACCTAAACCCGCATAATATATTATTTTATTACTTTTGTTTGTTAGTTTTTAGCTTTAATTTGTAATTGTCTAAATACTTATGGTGAAACCAGTTTTCTTATAGTTGTTTAAATTCTAGAACAGTATGTCGCTTTTATAGAAAAACATGTAACTATTGTGGAACAAATATAGCGTTATGTTTATATTTTTATGAAATTAAAGTGTTATATATATATTTTTTTATTTAATTATGTGAATCTGTGGTCCTAAACCGATCAAATCCATGTTTAAGTGGATTAGTTCGAATTGGTTCAATGATTTAAACGGATTGGATTGGTTCCAATTTTTTAGAAACCATAAATAACAGATTGGTCCTGATTTTATCCCAATTCGGTCAAATCCGGACCATGCTCACCCCTACCAGGCCCAGGGCTCGGTCTAGGCCTGGGCCAGAGCCCAAACGGACCTAAACGGGGCCGGCCTACCCTGGGCCACTGGTAAGTTTCGGGCTGTCCACAAGATACGGGCCATTTTTATACTCTTACATTTGCCTTGCAAAATTTTGGGCTACCACTGCTTATGTATATAGTAGAGGCTAGTATATAAGTAACATGTGTAAAGATTTGTAGTTATGAATAAAATAAATGAATAAAAAAATATCTATATTTGTGAAATTTTGGATTTTTAAATCAATTTAATTTTTTCATTTGAACAGTTTTAATATTTATCAACTATTGTGGGCATTTAAAAAAAAAATACTAATATAAATATATGAATGAGACTTTCTGCAATTAAAGTTTTTGTTAAGTTTCTTGTGAGTTCATTTTGAATCTATTTGCATAATTCAAACTTATATTTTTTAATGTTTATTTAGTAAATTATTTATATAAAAAATTAAATTAATTAAATATTAGTTATACATAGGGTGTTTTGAGAAGTTGGTAAAAAGTTGACTTTTGACTTTTTATCAAGTTTTTTGGCTTTTTTTGAAGTGATTTGAGAAGTTGGTAAAAAATTGATTTTTTTGCTTTTTGATTTAATATTTTTTAAAAGTGTCACATCACTTTAAAATGACCAAAATATCTTTACTTTTTGCATGTCAATAATTTTTTGAATTAATTAATTATAATGTTTCAAAGGGAATTTAATAAATTGGTAAGTGGCTTTTTTAGATTTTTCCAAATGAGATCAGTGGCGTTTTTGCAAGGGTTGGCTGCGTTGCCAAAACGGCACATATATTTGCACAACTCGGATATGTATATGTTTATATTGAAAATAAATTAATATGTATTATTTGAATTATCAAAATTGATATGAAATGTTTTGTTGTTAAAACCGACGGGAATATGGTTACGTCTGGTGACGTGTGAGTTTGTGAAAGGTATAGATTAAATTTATAATTTTTTTTTTTGTAAATTTGTAAATATTTTGTGAAAATATTATTCACCATATTTGTTTTCAGTTTTTTGAAAACACTTTTCAAAAAATTTTACTTTCTTATTTTCTATATTTTTTTTATTTTTATTGATTTTTTTTAATATTTTAAGCAATTTTTTTTTTAATTTTAAGACACACTTAACATAAATATACTTTAAAAGTATAATTTTAGTGAAAAAAATCTTAAAAAAATTTACTAAATACAAAAAAAAATCAGTATATTTTTTTATATTTTTGTGTATTTATTAATTTTTTAAAATATTTTTTTATAAATATTTACTTTTTAGATACATCTAAGTAAGGTATATCTAAAAAAGTAAAAAAATACTTAAAATTTTAAAAATATTAACTAAAAACCAAAAAATAGAAAAATCAAAAAACTCAATTTAAAAAAAAAATGAATTCAAAAAATGGAAACCAAACACATTAATTGATCTGCAATGTTTTCAAGAAAAGAAGAAAAATAA